AAAAGAGGAATTGTCGAATCATTCGCGTGAGGTTATCCGGCAGACTACATTCATGACACCCCATGATTCAGTACTGGGTGGTCGATCTACCACGAAACTCACCACGTAGGGGCATTATCCGTACACATTTGCTATTAAATAATAAATGCTTGCGATCTGTCGCGTACTACTGTTAAACGACCTTTATCCTGTATAAACTTTTGCGTACGCACGACTGCTTACGGTCTTTTACGTGCGTACTTCTGTCAAACGATCTTCACCCCTTACAAACATTGGCGTTCGCACAACTATATACGGTCTTTTGCGTACGTGCTCTTCAAACGACCTTTATGTATTGCAAACGCTTACGTGCGCGCAATTACTTACTGTCTTTTACGTACATACTTCTGTGAAACGACTTTTACCCGTTACAAACGTTTGTGTACGCAGAACTACTTATGAACAACTGCGTACTTCTTTCATGCATAAGAGCTTTTCCGTACAAGCTTTTACCCTGAAGAACCTCCATTGATGTGGATGCCACATAGGTACTTTCTACGATACGAACAAAGCATAACAACTTTTGCGCACAGGCTTTTTTGAGCATACTTCTATTGTGAGAGCTTTATACTGTGCGTATATTTGGTCGCAGACAACTGGGTACGTGCTTAAAACATTCATACTTTTTCCAAGCGAACGTTTCTTCCAAACCATGCGAAACACGGGTGATTCAGCCAGAAGTTTACAATGACCCATATCGAGTTAAATATGAAAATTACTTCCCACAAAAGCTGCAGAGAACGGTACGTTTATGCTCCCATCCACAGCGGTGTGAACCTCGTCTGATTCAAATTTCCCTCTTTTCCGTGAGAAACAGCACCCGGAGAAACAAGTGAGGCTAGACGCCGGTGTCGCGCGTTTTCGATTTGACGCTATATCACCGTCAAGAAAAAGACATGGAAAGATGAACCAAACAAATAATTGCGTATGCGAAACTCCGGTTTGCACATGACCAGCTCTGCAAACAGTTGAATGTCGCGGTCTGATCGAGCGGTTTACACGGCCTCGGACAACATGGACTAACCGTCCTATTGTTATCCTCCTCCCCCCTTACGAGATGGGGCCTCAAGAGGCCCCTTTCCTCCTAAGGTTTTCTAAACAAGCTTCCTATCAGACAAACTTTATGGAAATATTTCAATAGCTACATCACTTAAAGATACATTAGTATCTTTTTGGTTGTTTTTTTAAAGCCAGGTCATCCAAGGTCACGTCAAGTCAAAACCTTAATTGTTGTTACCAGACCCTCCAGAAATCGCAGACCTAAACCTTAATGACCATATTTAAAGCTTCAAAATGTCTTTCCAACATTGGTCTCCCGTTGGATGTGGCTTGCCATGTTCTTCATGTTACTAGACGGACCAAAGCAACAATTGCCATCCCTTATTTGACCTGACATGACTTATTTCAGGTCACATGTGTCAATGCTTACTGGTGCTTACCTAATCCAGTTTTCCCAGAGTTAATCAACGCCTCCTTCCGCATTGCCGTGGCATGCGTAGTTCTTGAGAAAACAGGAGTCTGAAAAAGGTAACTTCACCACTGTGACCTGAAGCCATTTTAAAGATCATACCGTTATCCGGTCGCACTAATCTAATGCAGTTTGAAGAGAGCTTTTTGCTGCCGTCTTCCGCGCGGCCCTACGTTGCTGAGTTTTCGACGTGTTAGAGATCCTCTGGGACCCTTCGCATAGGTTTAATGAAAATAAAGTCTTAAAGACAGCTTTGTTCTAAGTTTAAAATACTCCCGTAAAGCGAGAGACGAGGTCGACGCTGATTTCGCTTCGTATGAGAAAGGCCTTCAGTTCCTGATTTTTCGGCACTTTGTTATGTTGACCTAACGACCTTCAGTATGCAAGGAGGTAGTATTTAAACGGCGCGGTAGTGCAAAATAGCAATCACGTTTAAGGTCTCCATATTTTGAGCTGTGCTCACCCTCTTGATGATAAGTGCAGCTCTACATATTGAACAACGCAAATGTAATTATTGTTTAGCACGACATCGTTTTACCTGCACCTCCTGGTATGTTTAATTTCGTCATTTCAACATAAGACTTTTCAACTCAACTGATAGTTTCATCTGGCCTGAAGCACACGACGCGTCCAGCTTGGGTAGGATCTGTCACAAAAGTGTTAATGGGTTGAGGGCAAAACGGATACGGAGAATGTGGCGTATAATGTATATCACAACTACCGTACTGGGATGTTTTACGCAGAAGAAACAAATGTAGCATTCGAGACCGGTTTAATGAACACCTTGGAGTAGCACGTTTGCGTAGTGCATACACCACTGGATGTGGGCGCTCCCTGCGCACACCTACGTAGTGTTCACACCACTGGAGGTGTGCGGTCCCTGTGCACACCTACGTAGAGTGTACACACCACTACAGGTATGCGCTCCACGTGCACAGCTGCGCTGTAAGCCGATACGGAGCAATGGACATAAGCGTTCGCCCTAAGCTCTTTCATGTCATAATTGCTGAGACTAAGACTCGTAGACCTGCAGACAGCTATGACCTTCAGCACATATGTAGTGGTACAGTTTAGGAAAGCACGCCATCGCTTTGCTTCTTTTTCGGTAAATGTCTTCTGAAGGAATTTATTTAAAATGGTACAACCCGCCCAATCGCCGGTTAAGTTGTATGAAACGGTGGGGTAAATTGTATTGCTGTTTTATGATACGCGGGGCAGGCTGCATCGCAAGCAAACTACATGCGTTACGATATGTGAAACGGAATGCGCTTGTCTCTACTATCTCGCAATTCGCAGTGATTGTGGGATGGAAAACGATTTCTGTCCTTTTTTGTCAGTGCTTTGTTTTACAAGTACCGCCACCTAGGTTCGGCTACTCAGGTAGGAATCATTCGATCCACATAGGTACTGTAAATGTCTTCTTATTATCGGCATGACATTATGTCATGTTAGTCAATAACTGATAGCATATCAGTCAATGACATGACCCCACAATGACAGACGGCGTTGTCCCCCTAACTAGGGAGCATTACGTAGGGTTTTGGATTCCAGATCATGATATATGAACATCATTGAGAACAAACTCCATTTTGCACCATTACGACCAGACAAAATTTGCTAATCTGCTCGAGAGCTAGAAGCTTCAGTAAGACGGTGGAACGGGCCAAATCTGGATACCGAACACCTGTTTCAAACAAGTTGTCACAAATGTAGTAGAAGACAAGTTGTCCGCAAATTGACCTCAAACACATTTGAAAGCTCCCAAAATTCTAAGCACTTAAAACATACCATTGCTCATTTTTTCACAATGTTGTGTTCTAACCGGATTTGGCTGTGTTGAGTGCTTTAACGGTGTGCCCACCGATTGGCATCGGATATGCATTAGTGCTAAATCAGTGGAAGTCAATCACATTCCCCGTTATCGTGTGCGGAGGACTAAAGCACTGGGATCCCTCGCTGCAGAATAAAGTCCTGGCCCTGAGTCCGCTGCTTGTGATAGTATGGCACCATTTCGACTTCAGCTAAAGCTAGCCCGAACTGGTTCACTAAAGTTTAGCATGGTAGCCGTCGTGCTGCTTTAGGGGCATCGTATGTTCCAAGCTACTGACTTTAGTGCGTTCGGTTATGGCGGACAAAAACAGGTGACAGCAAAACCGCATAGCAATGCCAATAGCAGTCGCGGGTTAGGCTTCATTTGATTCAGGAGCTCTATTGGACATCTCTTTACAAAGCTCTAACGCGCGGGCTCACCAGTGGGCCGAGTTCTCCTTCAACAACTGATTTGTTTTAGCGCTTTAGTGCGCACGAATGATGCTTTATTTAGTATTGACAAAGCCTGACATCGGTTATGTTCCCTTCAGATAACCAAACGCCATATTCCATCTCAACGCGTCTATTGAGACATGCACAGTGTGTAACAGCAGACAGACTTCCGTGAGCACTACAAACTTTTTAGATACGTACAAAGCGGTTCACAGGTTTTAACTGACAGTACAAGCCACATGGTGGGCGCACTGAATACGAACCCCGCCTCAATAGACAGCCCGTGCTTGTTACGCTAACTGAAAACCTATTAACAGACGTTTGAAGCGGTGCCCTCTGTACAAGTCAAGCGACGTGCTAGCCTATCGCTGCCATCCATCGCACGGTCACATCATACCAAGAAATGCGCACGTTGTTCAAAAACACAGTTGATGCAGCAGTCGCGGAAGAACATTACTATCAGGGCGGACACACGCACGATGTGCTCATTCCTCGCGCACCAGGTGCTGCAAGGGGACGCTGCAGCACAGAAGGCTTCATTTCACGTCCAATGAATCTCTAATTTCAATGTGAGTGACTTGGAAAATTCACGTTTCAAAATTCGTTTGGGAAATTCGCTCTGCTCGTCAGGCAAGGAATCGCACCAAATAACGAATGGTGTAGTTTGATATCACACCTCTCTGTCGCAAGATTACAAATCACAAGATTGGACAAAGGGTTCAGCTGAATGAAAGGTTATTTGCAAGGACAAATCGCGAAATGCTGAACCACCGGCTAAGGTAAACGTGTTTCTTTTCCGAATGTCCAGAAGCAACATGATTGACAAATAACAACTGACGCCAAAGGTTCAGGCGAAAATTGGTACAAGTGTTTAAATGAATCCCACACCGCTGATGTCACAAAGCAAAGGTCTAACCTACAAACTCTGGCCAGAAGGTGCTTTTGGGGCCAAAGGACGTGCGCCATGAAGCACCAGTTATGCTGCAGCCGCATGCAGTATGTACACATTCATACTATCAATTCTTCTCTGAAGTATCGACTCACTACAACGAACAACTCTGGGCCGCAAAAATTGGTTATATAAAGCAAATGTGATGCATGGGGCAATGTTAATAAAGAAAACCTCAGGGATTTTCAATGAAGCATGAGCACGAAAGATATCATAAGTATGATGACTGCATGACACATGACAGCACTTCCCGTTTGTGTACTAGACCCCAGGCATAAACTTTTAGGCCTCCACACAGTTTGCAGGAATGTTTTCCTTCGCGCTGTCATCGTCTTCGGGGTCCGCCATTTCGCTGTCTGTGCCCGGCGCCGCCGTTCGTTTGGCCGTCGGTCTATACTCTTCAAATATCTTGCTAGGTTGCGTGACGCTCTGTTTGCCCGCCTCCAATGCCATAGAACGCTCGCCATCCTGATTGGTCGCCTCCGGCATCTTCGCACGCTCGACGCTCCGGTCGGTCGCCTCCGGCGTCTTCGCACGCTCGACGCTCTGGTTGGTCGCCTCGAGCGGCTCGGCGCCCTGATTGGCCAGCTCTGGCTGGCTGGCACACTGCTTGGCCGGCGCCACGTGTTCGGCGGCGATTTGCCACAGGCGATTGGTGAGCTGCACAGCAGAGAGCGTAGCGGGGTCCAAACTGAACGTGACGTCAGCACTTGGTTCGAGAGAGACAGTGCCGCGCACATCAGGACCGGTGTGCTGCGAGTCGAGCCGCACGTGACCACACAGCTTGACGTACGCCGAGAAGGTGGCCCTGCCAGGCGGAAATCATCAGACGGCGCATCCAAGTCGACGCAAGGGATGTTGGCGGCGCCCTAGCCGCCACCTTGCATATGCAGAATAAAGCACGCAACACTGACTCACTATTTACGGCAGCCGAGATGGCAATGCGCGCACGACCGAAAATTGGGTGAAACAGACATAATAACAGTAGGTAGACTGACTAATACCATGATATTACAGTCGCCGATATTTTGTTGCTGGGAATAGCCGCACCGACAATTGGGAAGGTTGGAATACCTGCTAATGGATGGACTAGGCAACATGCGTCAATGAAATTAGCGCACCATAATGCTAAAATGCACAGTGTTTGTCAGGAATGGATAATGAGAATACACTATTGAAGGAACCGCGAAAATGATAAGCAAAGTGGGGCGTTACCGCGAAAAGAAGTACTGAAAACGATGCACGCATTTACTCACTTTTCTTTTTCCAACTGCTTGTGCTGAGGCTTCACTTTTGTATCAGTCTGGAGCTCTAAATTATTCAAGTCACTTTTCAGCTTGGCCTTCTGAGCTTTCACTTCTGACACCATCCTGAGGTTCTCGGTCTGCGGGTAAAATCAGCAAATGTGAGAATTTGCTGAACTGTTGAAGAGATTGTTCCACATTTGGAACTATTGAGGCAGGTATCAGGTATGATGAAAAAACTCACTTGTAACTATTGGACTGCCTACAAATGCAAAAGAATGCTATCAATAACACAATTTCACTAAGTAGTAAAAACGCTGCTCCATATGCCATCATTTCTTTGTGTCATGCAACGGTTCCATGACACCATAGTCGCTGCCTGGGTTGCCGCGTCTGAATCGTCGCTGTAGTGGACGACATAAATTACTTTTGGTACTTGTGCGCACCGCAAGGTGGCGTTGCTGTTTCAAGCGTGGGAATTCATGAGCGCTATAAGCGTGTGTTGGCCTTCTCTCGTGATATATTTTGGTGATACCATGTGCCTTACTTGCATTTGCATTCGCGGCTATGACGGCATTCTTAGAGTGTTCCACACGCACATAGGGTATTGAACTAAAATAACCATATTGAAGACTTTTCGGCGCAGCTCACAGTCCTGCCCTTCTTGAGACCTAAACTCCTCTGTTTTTGAGTACATTTACGCCCGCAAAATGGGGACATTATTTCGGGGAGAGTATGTCAGGGTCACGTTGGCAACCATGACATCAGAATAGCGTCATTCAAACTCTGCCATTCCATAAGACGTGCGGGCGATAAGGCCGGTACAAATATAATGGCTGAGTCGTTCATATCTGGCGTTCGTGAGCACGATTTTCAGATGTAACGGCCGGCAGTTGGCTCTCTACCCATGTTGCGGGAGGTACAATAACGCAATCAATGACGCAGCGAGGTGCATACTTCACAGAGAAACTGTGTTGTCTAGAGCAGTATTTTCTACTTAAAAGTATACCAATAGTGCCCTTGTTTTATCATATCTGGTGCCTCCTTTAATATCTTCAGACGTGAAACATTCTCTTCAAGTTATTCGATCTTCAGTCTCATGTCCGCAACATCTTGTGGTTGCCCAAATGCTTGTGTTATCAATAGCAAAATGCGGTTCGTGATCGAGACATGCAATCAGAAGCGCAACTTGACTGTCTGCCAGTTGTCATCTATCATTCACACACTAGGTACTGCATCACCGCAAACGCGAATGTTTCATAGGATACATCCTTCTTGACCATGAACACAATACAGCCAATGTGGCAGGACGTTCTCGCGACGTCTATATGTCTGGGTGGGGGTGGGAGGGAAGGTGGAGGGGCGATTTGCCCATAGGCGGTGCGTCCTAGGCTACACAAAATCGCATATACCAAGCTCAGAAATGTGGGTTTGATGTTTGCAAAAAGGCGTGGCTGTGTGCCGCAGAGAATGACCACGAAAATGACTATCTCAGTTCAGAATCCTAATTATGGAAGAGACTCCTTAACGCTGTTACCGACAACGTTTATCATGGATCAAACTGTGTTATAGACGGTCACATCTGTTATACTATTTGCTAAGGATGCTGGAAACGTGCATAGATTGGTGACTTCACACACGAACATTGCCGACCTCGTTGATGAGTTCGGTACGTAAAAAGCACGTAACTCCCTTACATCTTACAAGGAATGTGCCGTACCGTCATTACAATGAAAAATACCGTATATATGCTGCAAACATGCAAATGCCAACCGCCAGTCGGCTAAAAAATACCACGGGAGCAGATGCACACAAAGATGGATCGAAAATAACAGTCAGGCCGGGCGTCACGCTGTCTGGTCCGTCACAAATCCCAACAATTGGAACAACGCACGATTGGACTACACCCTATTCACACTGCAAGCTGGCATATGGTGCTTTCAAGGCCGTCGTCACGCAGACCGAGAACACAAACAAGGCAAGTAGATTGAACCGGTGTCACGTCCGAGACGCTGTCGGTTGTTGGGCAACATCTTACTTTACGTGTTCATTTGCCTTGTGATAGTTTTGGTTATCCTGTCACAAGGACGTGTCGAATCGCATGCGCCAAGGCATGGATCCCCGTGTATCGATCCTCACCGGACTTCAAGATGTTAACTGAATTCCATTTGGCGACAATCTTACAAGACGGGCGTGGCGGCCATTCGTGGTTATGATTCGGTGCTGCATCAACGCTTCTCCCCACCTTACCCGGAGGAGGCGGGTACATTTACGACCCCAGGAGTTGTGCACTTCTATCAGGAGCTCAACCACCCCAATTTCTTACCTGCCTGACACCAGCCATTGCGGTGGTGGTGTGCTTGATCCGTCCGTCCTATTACATAATATACTGACCCAAGTTCTTACCGTCTGACCAGCCATTGCGGTGTAGTGTGCTTGATCCGTCCGTCCTATTCCATAATATACTGACCCAAGTTCTTACCGTCTGACCAGCCATTGCGGTGTGGTGTGCTTGATCCGTCGGTCCTATTCCATAATATACTGACCCAAGTTCTTACCGTCTGACCAGCCATTGCGGTGTGGTGTGCTTGATCCGTCGGTCCTATTCCATAATATACTGACCCAAGCTCTTACCGTCTGACCAGCCATTGCGGTGTGGTGTGCTTGATCCGTCGGTCCTGTTCCATAATATACTGACCCAAGTCTAAACGGACACATTGTCGTGATTTTGTGCTATCTCTTAAGGGGGTTACAGGCATTTCAATGTTGCTCCACAGCGAAGTGATCAGTTACAGCTGCCTGTTCGTGCCCGGCGCACCCGTGGTGTCGACCTGAATGCTTCACATCATGATCTGCTGTGTACTGATTGGCGTGCGGTGATTTCTTCGGAGACGGTTGCACTTAAGTGATTGTTTTCTGGCAGTTTGTTAACATTACGTATTTACATGTTCCGGTGAAATCCATCCGTGCCCGCAACCCTAGGGTTCCAGCGGTGACCGACGTAACTAAAGCCCTCATGGCACGCCGCGGTGAAGCTTTGGCCGTTTTCGGTCGCAGGTTTCTACACTACAAAGAGCTCAATGGGGCTGCGCGCTCTGCCATTCGACGCGGCACCTGTGGGGGGATCCGAAAGCCCATTGCAGAGGGCGGTCACCAACCCGTAGAAACATAAGCTCAGCGGTAGGGAACGGAAAACCCCACCGAAATGTGCCAGAGGAGATCCCAGACCACCCAAACAGGTTTTTTTTCATCGGCGGAAAGCACAGGGTGAGACGTCTGTTATCCCCTACCGCCTCCTGTGCTTTGGAGCCTGAGCCTTCAAACTTTTACCACGGACATCAACGGGATTGCGCATGACCATTTTTGGTACGAACGCCTCGTCGGCGTGCGGGGACGATGGTATCTGCATGCGTGTGATCTTTCTCTGTTTTAAGGCAATGAGTGACGTGTTGCTCCCCTTGGTCACTTCCTGTCTATGCCTCTCCGAAGCGCCCGAGTCCTGGAAGCATTCCATCGTCTTCCCCATCTTTAAATCCAAAGATCATATAAATCCTTCCAGCTTCCGCCCCATCTCTATCGTCTCTGCCATAGCAGACTGTGGAGTATGCAGTCTATCAGCGGTCCTGCCGCTACCTCTCCAAAAACCATCTCATTTTCCTGAACCAGCACGGTTTCCGGCCATGCCAATCCACGGACACCGCGCTGACTTCCATATCCGACGACATCCTAACTGCACAAGACCATGCAGGCATGACACCGCTCTCCTTGTCTGATTTAAGCAAATGCTTCGATGTAATGGACCACTCACAATAACCTAGCAAACCACGCCTACACAACATCGATGCTTCCGGTTTTCAGCTTACCTCAGCCCCCCCCCCCCCCCACAGTGTGGGAATAACTGACCGTTTCGGGGACTCTCGACTAAGCTGCCAAACAACATGGGAGTTTTTCAGGGATTGGCACCAGGCCCCCTACTCTACTGCACCTTTGCGAATAATCTTAGACTGTTCGCTGAGGGTGCAGTCGTGCAGCATGCGGACGACACCCAGTCTCGTTTGCGGCAAGAAAAGCTATTTTCAATATATTGTCAAACCGATGGAACACGTTCCGGCCTCTCTCGATGCTTGGTTTCGTGCGGACAGTCTTAAAGTAAATGCTGAGAAGACCCAGTTAATGTTGTTTGAAAGCCCACAAAATCTGGACAGCCCCCGAACTTCACCGTAAACTTCCGTGAGCACAAGCTATCCCCGCGTTCGGAAGTGAAAAGCCTGGGACTAGTATTTGATCCATCTCTCGGCTGGAATTATCACGCTTCTTTCGCCACTGGCCACTGCCTTGACATTCTTTCTGGTCCATTACACCTGAGGAAATACTTGCCCCTTGTGTCATCTGGACGCTGGTGAGTGTTTTGGTCCTTTCGCAGATCCAATACCGTTTTTCGGTTGATGGGAAATCTCTCAAATCTCTCACTCAAAAATCTCTGTGGGATCCAAAGTCATCAACTTTGCAGCAAAAGTCGTCTTTGAACGTAGAAAGCTCAATCACGTTTCGGATCTGCTGGACAGACTCGACTGGCTCTCTGCGGACAGCCTTGTAAATACCGCATGTTGACGCTTCTTTCATCAGATACTACGCCCTAGCAAGCCAAACAGGTTGGCTCGTGAGTTCTGGGAGGTATCTCAAACCCAACACTGTCACACACGGCAGGATGAAGACTTGTTCGTCCCTAGGTCACGTACTGAGATGGGGAGAAGGCGATTGCGTTGCCGAGCTGCCACCCGGTATAAATCCCTTCCCCGTGACCTAATACAACACCCAAGTGCGAGGTTTGCCGTGCACTGAAGCGCCATCTACTACTTCGACGTCCACCCTGACCGCGGAATGGCCCGATCCGTGTACGCACGCGCAAACACGCATATTTGTGTGCATGTTTGTGAGCTATGTAAGCATTTGCATTCGCATCCAATGACACCTTGCTTTAATGCTGCGACGATCGTCTTGACAAGCCACGGGTCCATCGCGGAGAGCCGAACTATACGTCTATGTCTACGTTACGTAATGTCGTCTACGTTCACAATGGTACTAGTACCTCTGGCTAATGCGAAGACACAAATACCCAACATCACAGCTGCTGGTTGGTGATAGCGACAAACGCTGCAGACACAGCTCACATGACATAATCGTATGTTGTAGTACCTGCAGTTCGACGTCCTTTTCCTTCGCCTTCATTATTTCCTGAAGCTTGCTGTGGTATGTCTGCATGTCTCGGACATCCTCGAAAGATCCCAGCTTGTCCGAGACTTCTGAAACACATATATCGCACGCAGCATGTGAGCGCCGCGCACTGGACAGTCCGTTGAGGACCACGACCGCTGCCAGCCGCCAGGCGACTCCTGCAGCCAGACCAGCCGTGGATGGTGACAGAGACACCTCCACAGCGGACGGAGCCGTCAGCTAGCCCTAACACCGCGACCGCTGCCAGCCGTCAGGAGACCCCTGCAGCCAGACCAGCCGTGGATGGTGACAGAGACACCTCCACAACGGACGGAGCCGTCAGCTAAGGCTGCCGCGCGGTCAGAGGTCACAAGGTACGGTTACTTTCCTCATATAATGTGTTTCGGCACATCATGTTTTTCCTCATATCATGAATTCAATCATACATGAACTCGCCAATATCATGCATTTTCTCAAAGCATGCATTTCCCCACGTTCTGTACTTCACCACGTCATATTCTTCCTCACATCATGTATTTCATCCTTTCACGTATTCACTCCTATCATGTTTGTCTTCGCATGCGGAGTGGGGCTACCAAGGGTTATTTACACATAACACTCCACAAATTATCAACTTGACGGCTAGGATCGAACATGGATGCCAAAAACGCACCACACTACCACGGTTCTAAACACCTTTAGCCGGCCAAGAATAGCAACCCTGGAGGCGCCCCGTGACGCAGCCAGGGTTTTGGAGGTATTGACGCAGGAGGGCGCGCCTGTATAGATCCGAGCGCTGTTTACAAGGCGCGCCGCCCTGTCCTCGCGTGAAATCCGTGGCTCTGACAGGGGCCGCCTCAATCTTCGAAAGTGCAGGCTCGATTTGACAGCGTCTTTTCCTTTTTTGACAGTCTCGGCACGGAATCGCCCGCCATATTCTTTTAGCACCATCACCACACTACGCACTTTTAAAACTGGGACACACAATATGTGAGGAAAGCTTGTGGTCAAGATCGGTATTTTATCTTCATGACATATTGCTAATTTGCAAATGACGTTTCTACCTGACTGCATAATTTAATACTGGGCTCTTCTGTGTGACAGCCAACCTAGGTGCAGTGTTTTCCTTGTGTACGGACGTGAAACAGGAAACCCCGCTTCTAGTTAGTTATTTCGTCTTAAGGGCGCATCGACTGCACGGTCACACAGCACCCTCGACAAAATGCTTGTCAGAACAAATCAGCAGCTTAAAAACTTCCGACGCGCGGTGTAAAGGAAAACCCACGTCGTGGACTGTTTAAAATAAACTGAACTAAACTGAACTGAACAGAGAAGGTTGTTGCCGTCAGAGCCTATAGCACGGAGAACCGCGGAGTGGACAGTTGGGAGGAATCTAGCCGACAGAAGTCGTGCAGCAACAGCTGTACGGAAAACAAATGATTATGTATCAGATAGCCTAGTAATAAAGACCCAGGAAGCACAACAAGCTGGCTTTGCGTGCGCCGCACCCTTTTGCTAATTGTATTACAACTCTTTCGACCATTAATGATCATAAAAGGGCAATGGGACGAAGGACAATGAATAACGGTGGAGCAAGCTACATACATCTGGGGACCCAACCGACAAGATTACGCCCGCGCAGGGACCCCTCTGCAGGGTGTGCTAGGCGCTCGGACGGAGGCTCCACCAGGACCCCTTGCCCCATTTGTGGCTGGCGTATGTAGTCTGCCACGGACAACTGGAGTGGCGCGAGGACACTGATGTACTGTATGTACTGATGATTGTACTTGCTTAACCGTGCAGGACTTAGCAAGTAGGATGATACGAGGGCGAATCGTGGGCAGAATGCGTCAGTCTCTTCAGCTTTGAGCCTCTTAAGCTCTAGAGTTAGTCTCTTAAGAGCCAGTCACTTGGTACACAGAGAATGACGATCAGGCACCACAGCAGCACCTGACAAACCTTCCTCGGCAATACAACACCACGGATCGACGGGAACCCACCTGGGAAGCACACGCCGCCCAGTTCCAGGTCACGGCCAGTCAATGGACCAACGAAGAGAACGCATACCACCTGAGCACCAGCACGGGTAACCCTGCGCCGATCCTGTTCTCCTGCACCAGCCGTACCAACTGCCTCAAGTTTGCGGCTTACCTGGAGAACCAATGCAGACAGCGCCATCGGTATCAACAGAAACATGCCTCTCAACGGAATGGCTATGGCCATTCATGCCTATGGCGGAAGAACGAGCAGCTGGAAGACCTGGTGGAAAGATTCGAGCGGTGCACTAGGTGGGCCTACCTTGAAGAAAACGGGACGGGGTTCTGAAACCCGATGCACAAAGGCCCCGACACCTGTTGGCTTACGACGGCGATGGATGGGCGCCCGAGGAGGACGCTGCACACGCTGGAGTACGCCTTGAAGGCGCTTATGGCATAAAAAGTCATCAAGAAATGCGGCAGATATCCGCGCGTCGTTTGGTCAGGAATCAGCTCCAAATAGTCGCATCATCGGGAAAGGGCATCACCATTCGGAGGGATCACCAAGCCACAATAAATGCATGGAAATCACGCTGCCGTGCCGCGCCTGGCGGAAAGTCCAGGGCCTAGCTCAGTGCGGACGCGCCACCCACGAGCAAGGCGAAAGCGAGACGATCGCGTTTCCTGGAGGAGGCAGTACTAGCCCTGCCGAAGGCGAGGCTATACGGCCATTCACTGTAGGAAGTGCCAGCGGGACATGGGGCGAAGCGCCACACGGAAACAAAGGTTGCCGAGCGGGGCCCGACGTGAAACAGCGACAAGAAAACCCACAAATACTTGGTATCATTCAGCAATTTCAACAGCGCTAAAGATGACCTCTTCGCAAGCTGGACGGCTGGGGGAGGGGGGGGGGGGGAGAGATCAGGTGGACCTGCCGACCGGCAGCGGAGCAGCGGCGCCGGTCATCGACGCACAAGCCTTCTCCGGGGTACCAGGTGGGGGAGCAAGTTGGAGCCCACCAGCGGCATGTGAATCCAGCAGTGGGTGACGAGCTGCAGGTGCGAGGACAAATGACTGGTAGCCATTGAAGCAGTTGAAAGGCCACTCAGCAGAGCTGGCCTCTGGCAGCGCTGGTCGCTAGCATGCAGCATGACGACCTGCTGAGCATGGACTCGCTTGGAACAGCAGTCAAAACACAACAATGGTCCACTATCCATCAATGAGGAGCACTTCAGCACCTGTAATGCCATGGCCCCATATGGCAGTCAATGAGATCTTCTGACAGTTTTGTAATTTTCCATGCTTAAGTGTTGCAGTTAAGACAAATTTGAATCAACGGGTAATATCAAGACCATGACCATGACCATGAACTGTGTGTGACCATGGCCACAACCTGAACCATTAGACCACAAACAGTACTTCTGGTATAACTGGTAAATACAACAAAAAGTGATGTGCACCCAACAAAGCATGAAAATGCTGTCTTACCATTCATGTTTTCCTGAATAATATGGATGCTTTTCTCCAGTTCTTGCATATTTTGATCCAGCATCTGCTGAATAGCAGATGTGTATGTAGAAGAAAGTGGCTTCTGTAGATCTTTCATCATAGCATTTAGAGAATCATCTAGCTCATCCTGAGCAGCCATGCCTGCAAACACCATGCATTCACATCATTTAAGCATTCATTGATTTCAATCACAACTTCCACAAGGGTAATGCCATAACACATGACTGTTTTACTGCAAGTCAGCTGGTGGTCCATTCAACTATTTCAAAGGAGCTAAAATGCTGGACCTATCACTATAGATGACTGTCTATAGCTTGAAGAAAATCACACCACACATTTAGTCAAATCCACACATAACTATTATACTTTATCCTAACATTACTTCAATACAGAAATAAATGGCTGGAAAAACCTAGGGGGGGGGGGGGGGGGGGTGATGATTTGCTCCAATATGACAAGTACCTCAAATCCTGTGAGTCAAATCATTGGTAATTCAACACACATGTTGAGTTATTGTTGAAACTACCACTTAAGTTTTATTACATGCGTGAGCAATGACACTAAGAATGGAGCTACAACAGTTAAATGTTTCACAGCTCCAAGAATGTAATACCCATGCTTTTCAATCTAGTATAGTTGGGCACAAAATGGCAGTTGTAGCTGATACACCCTAAGTCACTAATGCACAATAAATTTAGTATAGCCAGAATACAAAAATTTCAATGTCAGAAAGTTGCATTATCACAAATATAATTTCTGACAACCAAAATTAAACCACCCTGCAACAATGGCATGTTTAGATGAATTCTAGGCAATGACCAATTTAAATGGCCTGATAACTTTGATGACCAGCACAGAACTGCTATCTCAGACACCATGTGTTGAGGTTATCACAAATGTTGACAACAGGATCACAACCAGGATTTTGTAAATGGGGACAGAGCTCAGTGAGCATTCCACATGAGGGAACTGACGGAACTGCTCACGGTTCTTAAGTTAAAACTATGGGATGAAGGTGCGCCTGTCAAACGCTCTTCGGCCACAGCCTGCATCCCCACTTGTTTACACCTTTGCCAGGAGACTACAGCATTCCTTAGATATGCCATCACCCTGATACCTTCGTGCTACTACGGATCCAAAACGCACTGAACTCAAAACACAACGCCGTTGCAAGAGCCAACAATTTAACTTTGATTCACAACTTGTCCCCACCACCGCCCAATCACCTTCCACGACCGCTACGCCGCATTCGCAAACAACGCTGCTGAGGAGCAGCCGCCCGCAAATTCAATTTCAGCGCGACCTCCAACGCCCTCGGCTTCTGTTCGTGTACATCAAACTACGCTCATCAGCGTTGATGTCTACTGCTTTCGACCAATAACAATTTCAATTCGAACTCCTTACCAATCCCAGCGTAGGACACGAAAAGCCATCAGCTGAGCAATTTTGTCAAGGCGTGCTGAATGATGCATACCAAAAAATGCGCATTAAGAGCCCAAAACAGCCATTTTATCTCAGTAAATTTCAAAAATATTGTACCATTATGATATGAGAAATGGTCTTTATACAAAAATTTGAGAAAATATGAGATTTCTCGTTTCATACTACTAAATAAGTGAGATTCTTGTAGTCAGCTGAAGAGCGATTTGCCAGGTGCATTATGTTTGTATTGGGTGCGCAATAGTTGTGTACCAGTGGTCCTCAACAATTTTGCTCTCAAGGGTAGCGCGCATGCTATTGATGGGAGACTTAAGTGTTCGTTGAGTCATCATCACGGGGTTCTCAGTGGGCCGGGATAAAATTTACCCATATGGCAAAATCTTTGTAGCACGCAGCTTACATTATCTGCCCATACAGATCTTAGGGGATATCATCCTCCGAGTTCCTTGCAAGCCGTTTTGGATCATTCCTTTGTTCTTGTGGACTTAAAAATATTGAATTATGGCGAATATTGCCATTTCAAGGATTAAAAGGGAATTTAAGGAAGTAATTAAAAGTGAAGAGGTGAGTTACCTTTGCCTGAGAACTTTGTCATGCAAGGTGTCGGGTTGTTGACGGTATCCAAACCCTCACCAAATATGCACCTGGGGAACCCCCAAGGTACCTGATGAAGACACTCGGTGAAAACCCCCCACAAGATGCAGGATGGTGGCCAATGAGCGTGTCATTATTAACATTATGCTTACAGATAAGAGGCAAATGGCTTTACTGGGCAGGAGATGCGAATGGAAGAATACATTATGTAATGTGCGGGTTGTTCCAGTTATAAGTATTTTGTACATAAGATGTGTTATATGGAGCATCAACAAGTGCTTCAGATGATGGACAGTGAAAGTAGCATCATATGCATTGTCATTGGTTGCTACATTGTGTTGTGGTTTCTTTTGTTTACTCTCCCTGAAGTGGCATTACTGATTCTTTGTGAAAAGTGCAATGTTTGTTATGTAAGTTAAGGGTTGCATGTTATTATCTTGTCTGAATGCTAGTGCAGTGGGAGTTTTGATACTCACCATTTGAAACATTCAGACATAATTCAGCTAATGTTATGACACAGTTAAACTGCAATCAAGAATGAACATAAATCTGCCCTAAACACACTGTCACTACCCTTGGTAACCAACTAGCCCATACTGTCACACACATTTCAAGGAGGAGAAATGCCAATATGGATTTCTCTGTGTTTGATTAATGTTATGTCATATTGATCATGTTCATTCATGTTTTATGGCTACAGACAGTTCTGGAATTTGTCTTGCCTGCTTCTCAACGCTATCTTTATTTGAATATTGGTTTTAGTTGTTTTGTACCATGACCAGAAACAGTGCAGGTAGTTGAGCTCATTGTACTGATATCTTATTTCTAAGATATATATTCCCTGGCTAGAATTGTTGTTTGCATTATAGTTATCATACAACATTTATCTGATTGCTCTTCAGCAATAAATTTTGCATTCAATGTCCATTCTTTATTTAAAGCCCATTTTTATATATAGGCATTCCACACCATTTGGAAACTACATGGTATGGGTAGGGTTTGTGTGGGATGTTCACCAGGTGGCTGTGTTCAGATATGGCTGTGTGACCTGATCATAACACATCAAGAAACATCACATAATATAAATGTAGTGGCTTGGCTATGTCCAAAATGTAACTCAATAATTTCTTCCTGTTGACCACTGTGATCTCAAAGGCACCTGGTTGCCTGGAGAGACAACTTGTGTTTGCACTCCATCAGAAGATGAACTATCAAATTTGTGTGCAGAGATTTGGTTACATAACCTCATAGATACCCTATGTTAGATAACCTTACTACTTCAGGTTTGGTAATAAGGCTGATGATGAAGTGTTGATTATATAACCATAGAACTGAATGATGTTAACACATAGCATTGCTTAAGTGTAAAAGTTGTTTATTTCATGCTGGCTGGTCATTAGGTCTTTTGTGAAGAATGTTCTATGTGTTTTGATGAAATGCTCTGCTTCCTGCTTGATGTTTAGAAAAATGGGGATCTGTATGCTATGAGTGATGGTACTTCTTTTGGACAATGCCTGCATGAAAAGGGATGACCATGCTACCCTATGTTAATGGTTGTTTTCAAATTGAAGTATGCCTAACTTTAATAATCAAATTAGGCATCCTGATTCACATTGGGTGTGCCCTGAAGTGTTTAGCTCTCACTTTTGCGTGCAGATCGCCAAGTCGATGATCAAGGTGGAGCTGGTGAATGACAACTACTCGCAGCTGCGTGGCGAGATTTCGGGTCCGCCCGACACGCCGTACGAGGGCGGCCACTTCGTGCTCGACATCAAGATTCCGGAGACGTACCCGTTCAACCCGCCCAAGGTCCGCTTTCTGACGCGTATCTGGCACCCGAACATCTCGTCGGTGACGGGCGCCATCTGCCTGGACATCCTGAAGGACCAGTGGGCGGCGGCCATGACGCTGCGCACCGTGCTGCTGTCGCTGCAGGCGCTGATGGCGGCCGCTGAGCCGGACGACCCGCAGGATGCGGTCGTGGCGCGTCAGTACAAGGAACACCCGGACATGTTCCGCAAGACGGGCGCAGCATTGGACCAACAAGTACGCCTCTGGTGAGTGGCCGCCCAGCGGAGGAGGGCGGGGGTGGGGAAAGAGGGGGGGGGGGGGGGGGTGCGATGTGACGCAGCAGCGCCTGTCATCGGAAAGGCAAGCAGTGCGATCTGATCCGCGGTTTGCTTGGTCAGGTGTGCCAAGGTTGGAGCTGATGGAGAAAATTAATCCGCACTTATGTATGAGAATGAGCTGGGTGGGTGCGCCCACGAGCTACATGGCCTCAGCAGTTGAAATGGTCGTAAAGCCCGCCGTATAGCTTCAGCAGCTGAAATTGTCGCAAAGCCCCAAAAGCGGTATGTCCACGATGCGACGTAGCTCATTTGTCAACTGATGTACGCTCTCCACTGAGCCATTGTAGACTATGATAGCCTCCATTCAGGCTTGACTACGAGCGGGCGCGCTGCAGATGAGCTTGACGCCGCCGGTGCCGGTCAGACAGCCTCTGACAGCTGCTGGGCTGGTGTCGCCGCGCCCAGCCGGCCCTCTCTTGTGTGGTTCGCCCGTGACCAGAAGCCGCCGCCCGCAGGCCCCAGGGCGGTGCCCGAATTCGACGAAAAGGTCTGCAAGCTGCGCGACATGGGCTTCGAGGAGCAGACGGCGCGCGCCGCGCTCTCCTCCTGCGAATGGAACCTGGAGAAGGCCACCGAGACCCTGTTCAGCTAGGCGGCGGCGGCTCGTGGACAGTCAACAGGCCGCGCCGACGCTGGCGCAGCAAAACGCACTCCAGGCAAACCACGTCGAGGCCATCTGGAGATCATAGTCAGATTTATTTTCATAAGATCGGAACGCCGTGGGGTCAATCTTTTTCGCTGGTAAGGTTTAGCCGAATGTAAGAGACGTTGTGTCGGGATTCTTTCACTCCCCGGTCTCGCCGATCAGACAGAGTGCGATGTCGGTACAGTGCGATGATCGAACACTTACCGTTGAAGCGGTAGGCTAGAGGTGCCTCTAAGTCAAAATTGCAATGTATGATTTAAGCGCAAGTGCGCCACTTATGCGCTGGGTTTGTCCCGCTTTGTTACGAGGTCTAAATGAGGGGTGGGAGGCGGTCGGGTCGGCAGACCCTCTGCCTTTGTTCGGATAGCTTGGTTGGTCAGGCGCTGTCGTCTCGCAGGCTGGCGGATCGACCTCCCTGCGTCCGATCGACCGGTCACGGGAGCCTGACCGCCAGAACCTTCCCGTTAAACGCCGCCGAGAGAGCCGTGCCGCCGCAGGGGTTACACCGCGGCTGGAGGCCGTCTGGTGCCCGGCTGCCGTTCCCCTTATTCCGTGCTGGTGCATCGTGTGTGTGTGTGTGTGTCACCGCACGGAGGCGCACGTGCTGCACGTGCACCAGCTGACGCCCACCACGCCGTGCCCGACGTCGGCGCGGTCCGCGCTGCTCCTGACGGCAGCCAGAGGTCTCTGACTGCCGACCGAGGCCGCCGGGCCGCCCGCCTCGAGAGAAGCCAGTTGTGCAGCCGTCTTCGGTCACCGGCGCCCAGGACCTTTGGCGGGCCCGGTAGGCGAGCGTCGCCAGCGTAGCCACCGCTCAGGTCTGCGTGACGGCCGCCTCCGTCCTCTGGATCGGCCGTCAAGCGCCGGTGCACCAACGCCGTCGCCACCAGCCGGCTGTCGGGGCGCCGTGCATTCTCTCCCACTGGCTGGAGCGACTTCACTGCAACGCCACGAGTCTGGATCGGCGCCTTACCTGTTTACCATCGGTAGCGGCCAGGGCCGGGACTGTTCCGCTCCACCGGACAGGAGGCCTGTGCCTCCGCGCTTCACCCATCCGGTGACGTCACATTTGGCCCCGGCGCCGGCAGAGGGCGCCGCTGCTCCCACCCTCCGGACCCCGAGGCGGGAGGACGGCTCCCGCCTGAATGTTGGGGAGTGGTGGAGGGCCGCCCGTACGCTCCCGGCTGATGGCCGTGCGACGGACCGGAGCGAAAGACAGGCGCGGCGGAGGGGCGTCGGGCTCGAGGGGTGTTACGACGAGCGGAGGCCGCATCGATGCGCCGCCGGACCCACATGGAATGTGTTTTTCTGTAAATAAACGAGGTGAATTTGATAGTTGCTCGGCGTTTCCTTGCTTGACGTGGGCGCCGATGGAGACTGAGTTCGAACGGAGGTTTCTGTGGTAATTTGGTCGCTTGGTAACCGCAGACTGCCGAGTCGACACAGGTCGCAATGCGTTTAAATCGTACGATGATACTCGGAGATAAAAACTTGGAAACTTGGGAGCCGTTCGCGGAAGTGATTCAGCTGATGGCACCAACCAGCTCGCTGTTTTCGGGGTGCGACGTGGGTGTGACAGATGGATCAGCCCATCTGTGAGGCAAGCAACGGGCTACCCTTCCATCTCCGCCACCGACATGCGTTGCACTGAAATTGAAATGAATTTTCAAGTGCCTGTCTTACCAGATTACGCATCGAACAAAACGCGTGATTTTAATGCCCTGAGCGTGCCGCGATGTATGCCACACCTTGGTGCAGGGCGGGTGTGTCGGAGGTGTGCCACCTGTTTCCACTATCGCGCCAGACAGTGGTGCTACGTGGGAAGGCCCGTGGGAGTCCGGCCACTCCCGCCCAATCGCAGCACTGCACATGGACTCAACCGTGACGAGTAAGGCTCCTTCATTCCTCGCCCTCGGCTTGAACAGGCAAGTGATAACCTCCTGCTCATGACATCTGACTGTTCGTATGGATTCTGCCTATGTTGTGATCGCATTGTAAATGAGAACTGAAAACATGCACTGGGGCACGTTGTGATGGAAGCAGGCATGTGCCTGATCAAAGCATACTTATTATTTTCGGGACGCGTTCTCTAATTCATCAGAGTGGAAATCGTGCTTAAGCTTACATCGTGGCATGGCGGCAAGTTTGTTCTGCTACGGTCGTCACGTGACCTGCACAGCGTGTCGACCGTACCGCCCACGTGGGTACAGATCCACGCGGCGCCCACCACAAACGCATCACAGCCGCTGGTGTTGTAGATCGGTGACGCGAGGGTCCAGTTAGCACCAGCTCACCCTCTGCCTGTGGTGGTGTCATCGGTGACGCGAGGGTCCAGTCAGCACCAGCTCACCCTCTGTCTGTGGTGGTGTTATCGGTGACGCGAGGGTCCAGTCAGCACCAGCTCACCCTATGTCTGTGGTGGTGTTATCGGTGACGCGGGGGTCCAGTCAGCACCAGCTCACCCTATGTCTGCGGTGGTGTTATCGGTGACGCGAGGGTCCAGTCAGCACCAGTTCACCCTCTGTCTGTGGTGGTGTTGCAGAGCGAAAGTTCAACAGTCATGTCGGTCTGGCCGCTGGCCCTGTGTCTGGCGGTGGCCGTCGCCGCGGCCTCCGTGCTGAACCTCCGCGGCGGCGGCCAAACCAGCCTCGGCCGCTCGGTCAAGGGGGACATTGGTAAAACAACGGTACGTGGCCTTCGTGCACTGTGCAATGAATACTCTCACTGATGGGGTAAGTACCCCAGCCCTCGTTGGGCATGGATCGTTTGATGGTACTGTTCTGAATGCACCGCGGCGGGATCTGTAGAACATCGCTAGTCATATTGCGATGCGGCGAACTTCTCTTGAACTTTTTGTGGAGGAGGCCAATATGACCCACTGAAGCCTACAAATCTCCTCGGTCGGTTCTGTTATGAACTGAAACCCAAACTGAGTGCTGGGGTGTGGGCTCCCTCTGGCATCTAAACAAAATCAGAAGTGTTAACGGCGCACCCAGAGAGTAAAAATAAGGTGCTGAAATTTATTAATGTATGTTTGGTAGATCTACGAGATAAATGACGCGAAAATGGGCTTTAAACACCGGCATAAAATGTCATCCGATGTAATTGGGCCGTTTTCGTGTCCGCAACCAATCCAAATTGCTGATAAGAAGACGGCAAGTGAAAAACTAAACACGGTCGGACATGATATCGTTGCCATAATTAATCCACTTCAAAGCTTCAATACCGGACTCGGGTGCGGTAAGAGGGGGACAGCGCAAGCTACTGGGTCTCATTTCATTCAATGAGGTCTCCCGGTGGTGTGACGATTACAGCCTAACGTTGAAACTGTTGCAAAGGTTGTCAGAATCCGTCAGCCCGTTGTCTTGTTGGTGACGGTTGTAGGAATACTTCATTGCAGAGTCAGCTTGAGATCTGCTCGAGATTCCCGTGGAGGTACTGCATGCCAATGTGCCCAAGTCAGTCACCGGAGTTAAACTCATGGATAGCTTGGCTCTCCGCGATACCTGACTCCACCCTTGTCACGTTTTCTTAGACATATGCATCATAATGCTGATGTACTGGACAGTCAGTCATTGCATTTATTATATATACATTATATATATATATATATATATATATATATATATTATATATACACACATTATACATACATGCATATATTATATATACATTACACCAGACTGTAAAAGACGAACAGGTTTTGTCATATTATCTGACAACGCCTCTGTTTAAGCCACCATATAACTCTTAAATGATGGATTCCGCCCAGCAAATACATCATTTTCATCACGATTCAGAATTTTAATAAGGATTTAGGATTTTAATGCAGCCTTGCCACACGCGTTATGTAAACGCCGCGAATGCTTGCTAGGTCATGGCGCGGCAATGGGCCTGCGCCGCCCAATGCTGGCCACCACGTGCGGCTGCTCCCACAGCCGGCCTGTGCGCCAGGTGGCCCACTCCTGAGGGTACTGGCGACACTCGCCACCCCTGCAGCCAGTGACAGACGTCCGGTAGGCAGCACTGAAGGGTTATCAGTGTGGGACTGCCCATCCTGCCACCTGACGTTGCCAGACGTCCGCCGCGCTGTTCCGCTGCGTGGGAGCGGCCAGCCCGTGCTGGCGCGAGCTTTCCAATTTCGCAGCACGGCATGACCAACCAGACACCGCCTGGGCGTTATGCCAGCCACGGCCGCCTGGAGATGGGGATAACAGCACCCGCAGGATCTCAATATCTTATCGTTGAATCGAAAAATTTAGACAACAATCGACAGCAAACAACAATCTTGATCAGTCACCCAGAAATCATCAAACTGGCTTTTATCTCATGACGGGTTATGTCAGATGGCGCCAAATACCTTACAAACGTGCGGAATTTTTTTAAAGGATTTCGTGGCTCCCCATCGTACGCGATATCAGTCGTAGAGTTCTGCAACCGGCGACAAACAAAAGAGCGCGCTTCATGCAAAATGGGATCAAGGCCAGGGTTGTATCAGGCCAATGGCAAACCACTTAATCTGATGTAGTTGTGCTCCTCCGGCGCGTGCACATAACACATACGCAGAAATCATTGGGAAGAAAATGTGCTGTAATGCCATCTGTCGCAAACAATCATTTTCCCAAACTTAAAAGTCATTACCTCCAGTTTCTGATCCATCACGTCTCAGGTGCTGGTGGGTCTACCTGGCATCGTTCGGGGTCTGCTTCCAAAAGGGGAAGGAGAGTTCACCTCTCCCCCTCTTGGTCGCGAGTTGAAGCTCGTGGGCGATGGCTCGGCTGGTCTGCTCTTGTGCTTTGAATGAGGTTTGCATGGCTTACTCTGGTGACTGAGCGCTATGAAGGCAGCGAGATCGGCAAGCAAAGCGCGCCATGTGGGAAATGCAACCTGTCCTTCAAAGCAGCCTCTTAATGAGTGCTCTTCCCGTTTACCTGGTTTCCGGTGTTTTAGCCATACAGAACCGCGGGAGGGTCTTGTGATCTTGATAAGAGTCGGTGCCACTTATCTTTGCCACTTCGCATCTTTGGCACCATGACCCGAGCGTCCATGCAATTTATCTGGATGCCTCAAATGACACGCATTTTTGCACTCGATGAGAAACTAGGTGGATGAATTGGACATGTGCTGACGGCTGACCAGAACCGGTGGCATAAAATCAGCTGATTAAATGGTCCGCATTTCCATTTATTTTCGGGTACTGGCCGCCACGGTATTTGTTTAATGTCGCGAGTAATATGTTGGGACATGCAACTGCTGTGACCACTGGCGTCGCAGTCAGTCACGTTCACTGTTACGGATGACACCGGGACACGCCAGGTCGAAAGGTTCGAACCTGTCACCCTGCGGTCACGTGTCAAGTGTCCAACTGGAGCACTGGCTGGAGCCTTCCCGCTCGGGAATTTACCCGGCGAAACACGAAAGGAGCGAATCGCAAAATACGTAAGTGACCTGACCCAACTTTGTCGTTCCTCCCCCTCCCCCTTCCACCACCAGCTGGAGCTGATTCGCGGAGAACGGCTACCCAGCCGAAGAGCACGACATCACTACCGGCGACGGCTACATCATCACCATCCACCGAATCCCGTACGGCCGGGCGGGGCCGGGCGCCGGGCCGCGGCCTGTCGCCCACCTTCAGCACGGCCTGCTGTCGGCCAGCTCCGACTGGATCATGCAGCCGCCCGACAGGGCACTAGGTACAGTCACGGAGAGCGGCAGCCAAAGGCCGAAGCTTTGGAGCACGTTCTAAATATGTGCCGTTATGTGCCGTCTAGATATGTGCCGTAAATGTCTCATCAGTGTGCCGTTTGAAGCTGTGTCCGCTTGGCTATGCGCACTGCGTTCCTGCCACTGCTGGAACAATTCGCCAGAAATGCTGGAACCAAAAGCGGGCACTGATGAGATTTCTTGCGCGTCCCCGGAGCCCCGCTCGGCGGCCCTCGCCAGCCCTCGCCGTGGCGATGGCGGTGTCACCCGTGCCTCCTCCCGCAGCCTACATGCTGGCGGACCGCGGCTACGACGTGTGGCTGGGTAACGCGCGGGGCAACACCTACTCCCGGCAGCACGTCAACATGACCGCCGACGAGCCGGACTTCTGGAAGTTCACGTGAGCAAGCTCGGATACCGCACGCCACGTGCCTGCTTGAGAGCAGTCTGGTGTGGCGCAGATGTCGTGACGAGCGTTTCTCAATGAACCCGATGACTAGACATAGTGCGATGTAAAGCACAGGAACGGAACTCCCTGATGGAGAAATTCTAAAAATGCTTACCAAACCATGCAGTCTTAAATGGAAGCTGCTTTGGAAATCTCCCGGAAAGAGTTTTTTCAGTGTTAAACCTTGCGCATTTCGATGAAAGTTATGCGATCGTCGCCAGGCGTGGATACATGGGGGGAGGGGAGGGGCGAGAGGCTCTAGCCCTGTCCTCCCCCCTCCCCCCCCCCCAGGTGGCTAAAGTCGGGCAACAAATGTCGTTTGATTATATTTATGGGCATTGGAGAGATGCCAAACAGCTGTTGCAGAGGAAATGCTGTTTTCAAGAACTCCTTAGCTAAAAGGAGGCAAAATACGAGTTTGTAAAAATCAGGAGACGTTTTTAGACTCCAGCACTTTCAAAGTTGGGGGGTTGCTCCCCCCCCAGGCCGCGTTCTCGATCCGCCCTTGGTCGCGGCCACACCTGTTACGCTGCGTTCTTCTCCCCCCCCCCCCCCCTCCCCTTTCTCGCCCCGACAGCTCGGTGGTTACACGCACGAGAGTTCTCGAGGGCAGAGGACGGGGAGGGGGAGGGGTGAGGGGAGGGGAGGGAGTATGCCGCATGCCACGCTGTTTTGCCAGGCTCCACACGCGAGCTGGCGTGCAGTGATGACCAACACTGTCAGTGGAATGCGGGGACTGAAGGCAAACACGGAGAATGACAGGGGGAGGGGAGCAGCCAGCAGCTCTCGGTAGCGGCGGTACAGGCAAAAACTGAAGGAGCATTTCTTGTCGCAGCATGCAATAATGCAGGAGACGGCCCCGGGACTGGGGAGCAAATGCAGGGTGAAGTGATTGTCTCACAGTAAATGATACGCGGTGCCAAGTAGAACGTTCTTGGAGGCAGCGGCGTAGAGCTTTGGTCTTGATTCAAATCTACCCGTGCCGTTATTTTCAAATTTGTGTTCGAATTCACAGCATTTTACATAGCTTTCCACTGTTAGCATAAGTACTTTTCTGCGTTGTGGCGAAATGATGTGTCTCGGCTCAAAGCGGCAATATCGTACGAGTAGCATGAGAGTCATCAAACAGAGGTATCCGTTTGAATCAGCCGCCCTTTGCCATGCTCCGGGAAGCGCCGTGACCCACTGTATGCTGTTGTGCGACCCACGTGACATTATGCCGCACTGTAAAATTAAAAACAGACATCGCGATTACAGGTCAGATTAATTTGGTTTCTTTGAATATTGATGCCGTGGTGACGTTAGGTGAGATCAAAGGTAATGAAAAACAAGCCGTTAAGCCCCTTTTTGTTTGCGAGTGCTCACCGCTTCTAACCCATGTGCACGGCCAGCTGTCCCTAAACGCTCGTCATATATGAAGCGAGGTGACCGATTATACGAATGTTTGCTCTGATAACAGCGCCGTGGGGAGGCAAGATCTAAGATAACCACGAAAAAGCACGAAAAACATTACTTTAAACCATTACGCATTAGGGTCAAAAGTAATGTTAGTGTGTGTTTTGTTTTGCTTTTGACAACTCCATTCCTTTTGCTCCGACTACCGACTGCCACGAAGCGTTCAACGCTCGATGTGCCACAACTATAACTACAGCGACGAAGAGACCACGAGGAGACCTGTTCCTGAAGCTGGGCCAGAAGGCTTAGAACGTTCAGTTGTCGGTGAATGACACTGTTCGCCTCATCTTCATGACCTTTGACCTGGCTGAAAGCCGTGACATTCTCCAGCAGCAAAGTTTTCATTCATGGCACATCACATACAATTTCGCGGCTGTGAGGGATGACCCACTGGACTGCCGGCAAATGCAAATTTTTAATTCTTTAGATTTTATGGCTTGTCCTGGCCCTAGGTTACAATGTTTCACAGCTGACAGCTAATAAACTTGTTATTTGGGCACATAGTACGATGAAACTCTCGCTCTGCCGGCTATGTTCACGACGTTGGATACATGAAGTTGTGTGCAAATTGAAATATCATGCGGGCTCCATGTAATGAAATTGGAGTTAACACAAGGCCATCGTATTCATCATGTACGGCGGTTAGACTTAACCGTACCCTAGGTAACATATTCAAAACGGAAAAGGATCGACTATGGCGCATCGAAAGTCGGAAGTTTTGTGACTGCTGGTCCCGTCGTTCCGGATCATGACTTTATTTTCATCACCCTCGGACATTTTCCTTGTTTGTTTTCATCGCCTTTCGCTTACCTGGAAGCAGTAAGATACATTCCCTGAAACGTTGGGCACAGAGGACATATCCTTTTTCATTCGTTTTCTCATGCCGTAGTAATAGGTATGGTGTAAGTTCACTAGCATTGGTCCTGGTGACTGAAGACAGGGGTGGTGCCATCAATTTGGGATAGGGGGACTAGATAAAACAACACTCGCTACGATATTTGTGTAAAAATGGATGAGAAGCCACGCGTTTCGTAAGTGACGTTCTACAAAGGATCATTACTATGCAAATACATCCTGTGCCTTGTGCTGTACCATGGATTTGAAGGTCTTACTACAGTTTCGAGCTTTCTTTCCAGCACAGTGGATATAACCATCTAGACCATTCGGACACACAGTGTATGTCCCGGTCATCTGCCACCTCCTGTTGCCATGATAGAGGCTCCTTACATTTCAAGGGGATTTAAAATAAAGCTCCCCTTGGCAAACGACAAAGAGGTGGCTGTCTCCAGTGCCCCTGGTAGCGCTGCCCCTGGGTGACTTCCTAGGGTTGGTATCCGCAGATTCTGCATAGCCAGGGATCAAAATCATAACACTTGAAAACAGGGAAGAAATAAATGAAATAGGACATCTTGGAGATGGAAAAGGAAGCCTAGTTAAAAGAAATATTACGAAGCAAAGAAATTGCAACGAAAGTTATTGCCGCCATGTAAGTATGTACGTACTTCCAACCATTACCCAACTGGGGAGCGACCTTTATTATCCCCTAAAGCTTTTGAGCATAGTGGAAACAGAAACGGAGCGTCAAAATTTTCAGTACGTTTTCCCTAATCATTTGGCACACTTGCATTACTTCAAAACCTCACTGCAGGTCAAGTCATTGCCCTAGGTCGGGCCAAGTGGGATAATACGCAGAAAAACCCTTTGTAGTTTTGGGAAAGACTGGTGCCAAAACAAAACTTTGCAAGCTTTTTTATTTGTTACGCAATTATTCGCACAATTTTCACGGAATGACATATTCTGAGAGACTGTCAGGAGTTTGAAAGGAATTTCCGGGCATTGAAAGACAAAGAACATCTTACGAATGTGTATGACAAGCAATGATACAGAAGACACGGCTCAACAACTCTGAGACAAAACGCTTAAGTCTGCTCTTGCTTATTCAGCCAGTGTTTACTTATCCAGCCGTTTTTGTTCCACTCTGTACAACAACGAAAAAACAGAACATATTTTCAGACAAACAAATATTGAACCGTTTAACGGCCATTCGTTAACTGTATCCTGAAAACATGCCTCTGCAAAATCATCAGCTAGTTTAACTGACTGTCTTCCTGATGGGTGGCTGCTGGCTTGCGACCAAAGCAATTCATTGCAATGAACCAATCACAAAACGCTTGTCCACAAATCTTGCGCTAAATGTGGCAAATATTTTTACATATGTTTGAATAAACAGTTTGCCAGTTCAGGTCGTTTGCGGACGCTTCACTAGTTCAAACACACCACTTGAATATGTACCAGCAAAGGTTGAAGTATTGCGGCATATCGATCAATGTCGTAACGATCGGCTGGCTGTTTAGCCACGGGATTGTTTTAAAGAGCGCCTCCTGTTTTCGAATGCCACCTGGGAATCAACGTTATGGCAGGAAAAAAAATACCAGGAATCATTCAACAATACCGCTGGACCTGAGCGGCGAGATGAACGCATCATTCCCCGCGATTACCTGCCACACAAATCCAGACCTGTTCGCGTTTATGTCTGAAACCAGTCCTCATGTTCATCGATATGAAATGCAAATTCCTCAACCCGAGCCGGTGTCCAGTTTTAGCGCGGCATCTCCGCAGACCAAATGCCACTAACACGAGACTTGAGAGCGATACGGGGAAAGGTAGTTTGGCGCCAGTTTGAACAAAAATGTGATTTGGGACATTACGCCAGTCAGGCTCACCAGATATCAAACGAGGTTAGATCCCGTACCTGATGCGAATTTTCGTTTAGCCCTACAGCATCTTTAAAGTCCTCAAAATGCTTCGCTTAGATGGCTGGACGGGATCCCATTTTCTGATAATCGCACAAAAAAAGATTGAATGTCAGAGAAAAGAATGCGTCATTCGAGTCGAGTTCAGCACATTCAGCTTTAATTTGGCCAATATATAAGTTATCGCAGGTCATGATATTCTGACCAGGGTCGAATTGAGACAACACAATAAACGAGTTTTTTGGGAATATTAGGATTATTATAAGCATGACGTATGCGTGTAAAACACCACAGAACACTTCTAAACATGTCCCCAAAATCTGTTCTTGTCTAAACAAGATATGTTGATTTCATTCTTTTAGCTTCATCTCAAATATGATTCTTCACCTCGATCAGCAAGTGATTTAACCCAGTGGGACTTGCACGCCAGGTGCACAATAGATAAAGGCGACGGTTTCAAGAAGTTCGTGCGCCGCAGTTACCATTTTTCGCCAGTCTTGAAAAGCCCTGAGGAAGACAAATATCCTGGTCTGTTCTGGCCGTGTCAGGGTTGGACTCTATCGACATTTTAAGTAAAAGTTTTCTCACCCAAAGCTGCTCAAACTGTTTATGTGACGAAATGTCCATCTTGCTAATGATGATCTGATAATATACCTGTCCGATTCGTTATTACGACCTGTGACTGGAACTGTAAGCTTCATAAAACTAATCGCCGTAGAATCTTCGATTTCGGCGTGCATTGGTCAATACATGTTATCATGGAACTGCCATGCAAAGTACCTACATATCCAACAACGCTCCCAGGTGTCAAATGAACAGAAGAAACGAAGCACAAATTGCAAGGTCGTGTCTTACTGCATCCCAATGATATCGCACCAGGTGAAGCACGAGGGTTTCCACCTTCGTGGAAACTTGGATTATGTGCTTGATTCGGGATCTTACGTCAAAGGGCGTTAAACACGTGACTGAACTTTTGAACGCTTTTGAACCAGATCGTACAAGAACAACATTTGCTCTCTGAAGCACAGTGCAAGGCATACACAACTGCGCATCATCGGTGTTCACCTTTAAAAAAATGATATGTATAGATTTTCAGGCACTTGGTGATGCAGTTACCTGCTTGCGGCTTAGACATAGACACTCGACTGAAGAAATGAAAAAACTCAGACAATCCTGTGCGTGCTGCTCTCTAGCCATTTGGATAGGTATCAGCAGCACTGTATACCTAGCGATTCGATGCTATGCTCTGTTTATCGTAAGAAAGAACGGAATTAAAGCCGGTCAATCAATTCGTCACGAGCATCACGCTGAAATTTTTTCAAACTCAACAAAATGGGTCGGAAGGCCTGCAGGACAGCACTGCGGATCTCTCGAAGCAATAGCAGTTTTGGATGTTTGCATTGCTTGCAGCAACTTCATGTTCATATGGTTGGTCGATATATATATATATATATATATATATATATATATATATATATATATATATACGTGCATATTTTTGGCACTGGTGTTATTTTCGTTGGCAATTATTTTTACGTTCTAAATTCATTGCCTACCTTTGAAGCAAGTTATGCTATACTTTCATTCGGTAAATGCTCCAAACTGGTGCTGTTTCATGAATAACATGGGAAAATCCCAAACACAAAACATTGATTCGCTCAGTTTTATTGAAGGTATTTAACAAAACGCTGAACATTCGGCTGCAGATATACGTACGATACATCCGGCTCAAACACCCCACACATAACTACATGCCACATCCACGTAAACGCTACGAAGTCAGTTGAAAAGAACGAAACGGAAACACTTCTCATGATCGATCTGTCATACTGTTCTCATTCATCGTTGTCACTGCCGGAGCCGGTGCCGGAGTCGCTGCTATCATCGGTTGTTACGACAACCGGTGGGAGATCTTCTAGCAGCCCGTCATTCGTCCAGTACTGCTGCTCCAGCCTTTTGACGTGCTCACAGCACTTATTCCAGTCCTCTGGAGAGACAGCTGCGACACCTGCCTCCACCAGCCGTTCCACCTCCTCTTTCCGCCCCGTCAAGTTCCCCCGTATTATCACGCGCTTCATCTGTGCCCACACTAACTCTATCAGGTTCAAGTCGCAGTGATACGGCGGCAGGCGAACGATCCGACGACCATGTTCTCTAGCAAGGTTGTCCAGAAAATATTCCTTATTCCGGTTCTGGGACTTGACTAGCTTCAGCAGCTTCACCTTCCGCATGTCTTCGTCGATGGTCACACCCGCCTGCTGCAACCACTCCTGGACTTCCGCTTTACGCCAGCTAGAAGTTGGCAGTTTTTGGCACAAACGGGAATGATATGAGACATTATCTATGATGATCACAGAGTGCTCTGGCACGTTCGGAAGCAGGCACTCGGTGAACCACTTCTCGTGGCAGTCGGCGTTCATCGACGTATGGTAGCCGGCGTTCTTGCCGTCGGTCCTGAGGTGGAAAAGTGCGCCCGGTATAAATCCTTCTGAAGAGCCGACATGGACAATGGTAAAGCGTTTTTCCTTTTCCAATGGCGTTCTTCCGTCCGTTGATTTTACTACCGTCCTGCCACGCTAAGTCCTCCATATCGTACTGATTGTACCATGTCTCGTCGGTATAAATGATTTTGCTGTCGGGAACTTCTTTATGCAGCCTCTTCATCTCCCGCAAGAACTGGCATCTCGTTGCTGCAATATGAGGTTTCTCGATCAGGATCTTGCGCTTGTCGATCCTTCGGTACTTAAATCCGTTCGCGAGTAGGTGTTTTCTTGCGGTGGATCTAGACATGGTGACGCCGAGCTGTTCGTGAAGAGCATCCGTGATGGTGTCCAGAGTAACATGTTTTCCGTCGATGTACATTTGGTGTACCATTCTCCTCATCGCGCAAACATCGAACGGATCTAGATCCACCCTTGGTCTTGCTGCAGCTGGTCGGGATCGGCTTGGCGACTTCAGTCTGGCACCATTCTGGGCTTCACGTTGTATGCGGTAGACTGTAGTCTTCCCAACGCCCGTTACAGCTGCTGTTCTTAATAATGGACTCTCCCGGACGGCGTCGTCGTCTCCCGCCTTCAACTTCATGTCCCGGTCTTGGACAAAATGTTGATGCACATTATAAACAATTTCCCTACTTTGTGCCCCAAGAGTCCTTCCAGACGCTAGATTATATTTTTCATTCATTGGTAAGTAGGTACTAAAACATATACAAGATATAAAAAGACAATGCAATATGCAAGCAAAGCAATATAAAACTTTTCACTGCGTAAAATATTACCGCAACACCAAAGTGATGCCGGTCATGATGTTGGTAATTTTTGGGCTACAGCACACTCGAGTAATGACCCACGCGCAAAAAACGTGCAAAATCGTTGGCAGCACTTTAATTCCGTTCTTTCTTACGATAAACAGAGCGTAGTAAATGTAATGGAACTTTATTATGGTGGAAAATTGGTCCCCATGAGTGAAAATGCTTACAAAAAATGCATTTTTTTCCTGTCAGAAGGTTGCTGAGATAGGGGGATTGTTCCCTGCTATCCGGAGATAGAGGGGGACGCGTCCCCCCCATTCCATTCCAGATTCGTCACTGTGGTTCGAAACGCATTCCGGGTAACACGCAGTTTGCCTTCGCTGGTCCATAGTCAGTAGTTTACTGTTTAACGTCAATTCCCGCTCTTCCAGGTGGGACCAGATGGGTATGTATGACGTACCGGCCATGATCGACTTCATTCTGGAAACGACGGGTCAGAAAGATCTGTATTACGTTGGACATTCCATGGGTAAGTATAAGTCTACCCCAACTGCATCGGACCCATCGTAGATTTACATTCAGCATCTATAATGCTTCCCAAAACACGCTGCGTTCGGCGGATGATAAAGCCATCCGGACAATAGAGCCCACGCTGAATTATTCCGATATCAGTGCATTATTGACACATTCCCGTGAGATTTCCCACCAGCTCTTCTGTTTCGATCACGCTAAACTTGAGTTGAAGTGTTCCCCGTGCAGGCGTGCCAGTGTATTAGCCTTACATAGCACCCGACATCACATCAACGATCGTTCACCCCAATCGGTGACATTTTGTAGCATTTTAACGTGCTCACGCACCAATCGTTGCTTCTTTTGCTGCTTCTTTAAGCCCACCAGTTTGTCAACTGCCGGGCATCTCATTGGCCACCGACTGACCTGCGCTGTTCTCCGAGCATCTCCTTGGTCGCCAACTGACCGGTGCCGTTCTCTGAGCATCTCATTGGCTAACGACTGACCTGTGCCGTTCTCTGAGCATCTCATTGGTCGCCGACTAACCTGCGCTGTTCTCCGAGCATCTCCTTGGTCGCCGACCAGCCTGAACTGTTCTCTGAGTATGTCATTGGCCGCTGGTTGACCTGCGCCATTTTCGACCGTCTGGCCACAGGCCACCACCATGTTCTGGGTGATGATGTATAACCACCCCGAGTACAACGACAAGGTGCGGCTGATGCAGGGCGTGGGGCCCGTGGCCCGGCTCGACCACACCTCGTCCGTCATCCGGTACTTCGCGCCGTTCGCCAACCAGATAGAGGTGAGTCGCGCGCCGCGACCAGGTAGTGGTGGCCGTGGTGGCACGGCGGGGGAGCGGGAAAATGGGTCTGGTTACGCTGGAGGCGGATTTTGCATAGAGGCTGTCCGCACGCACACGCACAAGCACACGCACACGCACACGCACACATACAGAAACACAGACACACACAGACACACACATCGACACACACAACACACACACACCACACACACACACACACACACACACACACACACACACACACACACACACACACACCACATATATATATATATATATATATATATATATATATATATATATATACATATGTATGTAACATATATATTACCTTATGCACAGAGAGGAGAGATGTTTTTAATACAACGCAACCTAAAGAAACAAGGGGAGGAAGCCGGGCGGCGTAAAGAACGTAGTTGCCAATTATCATATTAGTTTTTCTTAAATGTTTTAAAACCTAGGGCCGGATACCGTTGGTTTCCTCTCATGACAAGCAGCACGCACGTTTTTGATTCGTACCTCTAGTTTAATTAGGACAAACAGACGTGGCCGTTGGGCGAACGTACGCTTCTCTCACTCAGCGGAACGGTGCTATACCAGGGAGGTAGGGGATGGAAATTGGAAAAAATCTGCAACGTAATTTATGGGTGGCTCCATATAAAATATGAAATATCTTAGCCGATAAGGCAGGGGAAGGTCGGTGACGGCGGCATGGTCCGTAGATGTGGTTGGTTACCCTCAAGACGACTTGATTGTCCAGCGAAGTGCTGTGTTTCCGAAAAGTCAGCTTTCTTTACATTGTCTCTATCTTTGCGTATCGCACAGGCACTCGAGCTGCTGGAATGAACTGACAATGCTAAAACCCCAGTCCAGAATCTGTTGATCCGATAGTTATTGCTCTGTAGGTGTACAACGGTTGCCATGCCTCTTGAATTGTATAAATTGCGCCTTCCAGTCAGAGTTTTCATCACTGCGTGTCTTTGTAGGGTTTGCGTCATCTTGTGATTTAAAGCGGAGTGCCGGTTTTCCAGAATTATCCGGCCTCTGAGCCGAAGAACCAATGTTGTCGTACCCAGCGCACCCGCCCGGGGCACCGTCTTCAGATGGATTGCTTTTACGGGATTCGAAGAGATTACATGCGAACATAATTTGATTGACTAAAGCTGTTCTCAAACCCATCGGACCCGAACATCCACCTGTCGGCGAAATGTGCGCGAGGCGCTGCAGCGCCACGAACTGCGCCACAAAAGCAGCCATGTGTTCTGACGCATTGCACTGTTTTAAAGACTGACGCGGCTAAGCGAGAGATCAACATTACGCGTCCGTGGGCGCCCTTGACCGTCTGTGACAGCCTGCCGCCGCCGCCCGTGTCCACCCGCGAGCCCGGCGACCCCGCTCTGGTAAACTGTCGCGTGCCGCCGGCAGAAACTGGCCGAATGGATCGGCTATGACGAGTTTATGCCGAGCGACGCGCTGATGACGCTGTTCGCCGAGCTCGTCTGCGAGCCGACCGAATCCACGCAGTTCATCTGCGACGACATCCTCTTCCTGCTCTGCGGCTACGACCCCTCGCAGCTGAACGAAGTGAGTACCGGGCGGAGGTCGCCTGATGTCAAGCTTTGGCACTTTGACCGAGCGTGTCGGTCCCGGGTTTGTGGGATCCGTAACGGTCCATGTGTGACTGTAATGTCACGTCGTTCTCAGTGAAATTTCCACGTTTTTAAAGAGTTCAAGGTAAACGCGGTGTAACGCGGTGTAACCTGAAGACACCGACACGGTCTGTAGCTGTGCCAATAGTCACCCATTGCTTCCGTTTGTGTTCACCTTCGTTCTTAGCTTTAGTCATGACTTCTCCCTAGTGCTTTCGCTTATAGCAAAGTCTGCCCGGGATTATTTTTTTACGGAACGCCAAGCATGTCATAGTGTAAACTTTCATGGAGCGCGAACGGCTGCAGAGGGTGTATTAGCGCTCAGGGGGTCATGGTGCAACCGGGGTTCGAACCCGAACCTCCCGCGTGGAAGTCGAAGGCGCTAACCACTCGGGAATTACGTTCCGCGGGATTCGCTTGCCGTTCGTCTGTGTCCATTATCGACGAAAAAGCCAACTGGCGTTGACTCCTGGGCGTGATTGGGTTATTATTTCGTCACAAGTCAACCAAGCAAACGAGTTACAGAGATACTTTATTTATACTTACGCCTTATTCATATTTGACGTCTTCATCACGCGTTCCCTGGATGGGAAGTTGGTCAAGACAAGTCGTGATGGTATGCGTATCACGTTAAGGCAGGGTCCATACTTGTGCTTGACTCTGTGTGACGCGTGAGTCCTCTCTACATCTAACACGACTGAATGCAAAATATAGAATCAACTCCTCTGATAATGCCAGAGGGCAAAGATATGGAGTCCATACCCAGCCAAGTGTGCGTGATATGCTTTAGTATCTCAGTGTACGAATCGGGCATTAACGGGGCACGGGCGCTCACATGCGCTTGGAGCGTTGCTCGACAACTAACAACTCTGGAGAGACCAGGTTGTTGACCGGAGACCATCAATCAGCCAACGCAAACTCAGGCGTGATGAAAACATATGTTTATAGCCAGTCAGCACTGATATGTTTTTGACACAACACATCATGTGTCCCTGCGCTATTACCACTGTCTATACTTAGCTAAGCATTAGCTCAAGGCCACTGTGCCTTGAAGAATCCTGTTACCATGCCTGCGTCTTGCGTATATGCGAAGTCACGATGCAGGCTCCTTCCACCGAACTTTGTTCCCACATCGGGAAACAGCTTCCAGAAGCTGATATCAGAATCCACGCAGAGGTGCACGCTCTAACCCGAAGTCAAAGGTGCACGCTCTAACCCGGAGTCAAAGGTCATGCTCTAACCCGGAGTCGGAGCGCTTGGTCTTGCTGCGCTGTAGGCCAGAATCGAGATCAATGGCTCTGAAGCAGAGCGGAGTATCTTACCTGCGGCTGTTGGGATAAGCTCAACGCCGTCCATTGGCCCTGGCTTTCGAGCCCCAGAAGCGGCGAGCCATTTGGCCCGATCACACAAACGGCGCCCCAGCAGGCAGGTGATGGAGGAGGGAGCGCCTGCTCTGTCCGTGGCCCGGTTCTGCGCTGTGGTGTGACACTAAACGATCTTGCTGCGGCTCTATCGGACAGACAAGCCAGAGGCAAAATAGTTCATTAGACGGGATTAAAACTATCGTGTTGAGTTCCGGGCACGGGAGCGGGCTCTGTTTAGCAGGGCGGTCTGAGAACAGTATTGCCCCTGCACGCTATTCGGATAACTTAATACACGAGCATGCAGTGCAAATCTGTCAGAGATCTCTCAGGCAACCGGTCAGGTCGGACAAACGAGCAGATGCCGTCACTGATTCATGAAGCGATGGATTGACGGCAGCGCTGATTGAGAAGGGTACAAAACGTCCCAAGCTCCGCGACCTGAACCTGACGCGGACACACGCGCTTGGCTGAGTGAAGCTGGCGGCGGAGGGATAGCGCTGTGTCGCAGCTGAGGACTCGCAAACCACACACACCGACGTACTATACAGACACAGACACAGACAAAGAGACCCCGGCCTACGCGGCCCGTCACGCTTCATCAGTGATGTGGACAGCAGTGTAATGACATCCGTATTGATGGCGAGACCCAATATTTACCCGAAGATGGCGATGGGATATGACCAGGGCTTGGCGATAGCCGGGTGTTGACAAGTGCCGGACGGATTAAGCCAATATTGACCTGACCACGGGAAGGGAAGGGATGAGATAGCACGCACTGACCTGCTACTCACTGCTCTGAAAACGACATAATACGTGAACTAACATGACAGATTACCTCCCAACTGAGCCAGAGTTCAATTACCCTCGCCGAATGGGGGGGGGGGGGGGGATTGATAAGTTGAGTGCTCCATCCGGTCTTTCGGCGGTTACTAAAAGGTAATGGAGATTGCCTCCACGTAATGCGTACGCCCATTGCCGAGTTCTTTTGATACCTTCTGTCATATTTGGTCCATGGTTAGACCTACACCATGTCAAAAAAAGCCAACTTCCTAAAAATGATATTCATCAGCGCAGTTTTATCAACTTGGCTATGCTTTGACTCATTAGAAAAATAATATATGATGAAACATACAGTTTTTGTTTTGGCGTTTTCGAGAGGCCTAAGATTAATTACAAATCTGAGGTCAGGTGAATCATGACCAATAAGTTAAGATCAAGCCTCCATTTGAGCCGACACTCACCAAGTTTTGGTGTTTGAATATTAGCAACAGTATGGTCCTTTACTATGCTGCACCATATGGCGACAACACTCATAGCGTTGGCTTAGGTCGTGACTCCCAATTTAGGTAGGTACATGCTATTTTTTGAAATAATGAACTGTTTGCCCTTAGGTTACCTTAACCATTCGTGGAGATACCTCCAGAAGCTAAGGTTAGATTACACGAGAGCAAAATATCATGTGATACCCCAGTTTTAAATTGTTAGGTAGAAAAGTATGTAATATGCATTCAGTATACAGATTTTGAATTTTGTTCACAAAACACGAGATAAATAGTTTCATTTAAGGTGTGGACCTCCAGGCCTCTGAAGGCTATCCGAGTGATGCCGCCTCTTGCAACCTGAGCTGTGCGCATAGGAGCCTTTGCGGACTTAAATGAGCCACTGCCATACTTAGAAACGGTGCCTAAACCAAATCGTGAAAGTGAATTCCCTTTCAAATTAACATTTATGGCCATGTGCACGCGATCACAAGCCTGGTGTCGACCTGTCCTGACCGCCGAAGGCCCAGAATATCCTCCCCAGCTGGCGGAAGGTGACGCGGGAAGCCACGCCGGCGCGTGACTCTACATGACCTCACATGACATATAATGGTCTTCACTGACCCGGCACATCCCGGAAAGTCAACATTTTAGTAGTTTCGTAGACTCTGCTAGAATCTGCATTTTCTCGTGCCGGTAGTTTCGCATTTTTGATCCAGATTGACCCAGTTTACTTGAGTGTCAACTGAAAATAGTGTTTGGGTGTCTTTGGTGTTTTTGGGTGCTTCACCTTGCCATTTGAACAAATATTTAGCTTTCAAGTATTACGATAAGAGTGTGCATTATTTATGGTATTAACATGTTTATCAGAAAATTTAGTCACCGGAGATCGATTAGCTATCATTCAATGTGAAAGTGTATCATTTTGGATGGGTCAAATGACCTGACATGACCTGTACTTAAGCGCATGAATGTGGCCCCCCATGGTCTTAAAGTATCAAATTGTCACCTCAGTTCAATCTATTTGCGGTAAAATAGCATACATATGTATGCAAGCATCGGCTGATTTGGATTTTTCTTCACCTAAAATGACGTAAAGATTCCTTAACGTCCAACACTTTGTGACTTGGTGAAATCTGTCGTAGATATTTATATACATCCCGTGCTATGCCGGGGTATAGTTGCCCATTCAGTGTAGGGCCTCTCATCCTCCTAAGATTTGGCTCTAGCGCTTACCCTTAATTCTGTTTGAGAAGAAAGTGGGTCAAATCCGTGGAAAACCCTTTTGTGCGTACGCAGGGGAAAGGTTTCGTTAACTTTCACTGCTCAGCTTCCCCACCCTCTTTTGCAAACTACGCCCGCACTACTTTTGTTGGGAGCCGATATCTTAGATGAACGCTTAACTACCACCCCAACACGGTTGGTGAATGCCACACGTCTCTCTTTGCGGTGCATCGTTTTAAATGTCTTGACCTCAGGCGTAGGCGACGGGCCAAGTGGACCATAGAACCAACGTAATTCCGCAATCCTAGGCATCACGCCATGATGATGCATAGAAAGAATCAGCCGCACGTAGTTTTGACCTAACCGCTTTTTGAGAAGTTCCTATGCCGCTGGCCTGGCCTCAGCAGTAGCAGCCACGGTCGCGAACATCGCCGCCGGCGGTGCCTCCCATCAGTGTTTCCCTCCTCTGCCCACAGACGGCGCTGCCTGTCATCATCGCCCACACGCCGGCCGGCGCCTCGACGCGCACCCTCGTACACTACGCCCAGGAGATCGACTCCAGTAAGCGATGCGGCCGGCGTGAGTGCCGGGTTCCCTTGCCCGCCCCTGTGAGGCGCGGAACGGCCGACGGGCGACGGGGGCGGCGCGCGACCTTCTTCTCCTCCAGGGTCACACTGGGGCATGTTTACGGCCAGTGAAGGCGTCGAGGTTTCAGGGAGCTTTTATGTTTATGGGGTCGCCACACGGTGTGGAGGAGGCGGCTGCGCTGTTGTTGCTCTTTGCATATTTCAAGCCGATATCGACCAGACAGCTGAGATCCCTGGCTGGATAGGGACTCGGGCGAAATATTCGGGTTCGGCAGTGAAAACGGCCATGCTTCGGAAGACTGCACCTGGTGTTGCATACACTTTGTAAAGGTCGAGACTCCCTGCACACAAGCTTGGCAACAGCATGTCCAAACTTTTTGCTGCAATTGGCGCAAACCGCGGGGTAGTTTGCTTACATCTTACATCAGCAAGTATGCCGAACACTTGTTATCTATCGTGCCAGGTGCCTTACGTTTAGTGTTGTCTCCAGGCCAGCGGCATAGTCTTACAAAATAAGGTGGGTGTGGGGGGGGGGGAGGTCTGAAGAATAAAAAATGACCCAACCTACCCTTAAAATACGCCAAAAAAGCAAATTTTTCACCAGATTTGGCCGACTTTCTCCCCAAAGGCGTGGGAGAGGGAGGGCTGGAGCCCAAGTTGCGGGGGGGGGGGGGGGGGGCTGAAGACCCACTGAATAGGAGAATACACCCCTGCTTCGGGCAATGGGCAGGCGATGGTGAAATGTCTCTATTATAATCTCCTATGCTGAAAATAATCGACCCCAAATTCGCCTGGAGGTAATGAACAAACGAAAGCATCGGGTAACCATTGTCATATTATGACAACGTTTGACGCGTCAGTGTAGTTTTATACACCGGTTTCGAGATGTTTCAAGTTTTATAATGAGAGGGTCTGCACATATCCGAATACGTTACTGCTGTTCGTACGCCTTGTGTTTGGGACTATTCATCTTTATATAACCCTGTTTACTCACGACCGTGAGAACTACTTTTAAACGCCAAACAGTCTCATTAGTCTCATTCTCATTCTCATAGTCAGAGTTTCGAACATTCTCACTCTCCCACATACCAATGGTAACATGATCTTTTCGTTTAACCAGCACCTGCTCGCATATATGGGGTTAATCATTTTCAAAAGAAGCTTTCACCATGCCAGCTGAACACGAGTGATTGCTGAGCTGGTGGTTCGTGCGATATTCCCTCCTGGCGAGATGTTCCTCGTCGTTGCCCCTCCCAGTCGCCTGGATCAATACACCGACATCACCTGCGGATAAATTGGACGGAGTCCTCCTAACCGCTCATCACTAGCCAACTACGGAACGGTACAGCGTCTATGATTGGACGGCCGATGTCAAAAACGGTGCTATATCGGATCATCGAAGTAAGATCAGCTGATGAGTTTGCAGTCGCTAAGGCTCCTCGCTCCGGCATCTGCGGTGGAACCGGATGGTGCAGGTGAAGCATCACGTCGCATTGGCGATACGTGAGAGATGCGCCAGTTGCAATTCTAGTGAGAAAAATGCTTGGAGCGCTATATGAAATCAGTGATATGTCAAGGTATGAGAGGCTTATTCGAGCGGTTTTTTATCTTCAAACCGTCTGGTCCATCACATCTATAGTGGTCTTGTCCACGGCGCAATGCGACTGGCGAGGTTATGTCTGCGTAAAGTCAAACAGCTACGCTTTCAAGGCGACCAGCATTTTTTCTTTTTTTGACGACCACGGAGGGTGCTCCTGCAGTACTATAATAATGAACAGCACTTTATTTCATCAGAAGATATGCATCAGGTATTGGTATGTATATCTAAGAGTACAAGTTTGACGTAAGGCTGTTTAAAACGAAGGACAATACCATGTATGACCGCTTTTTCAATCACATTGCCTCCAGAAAAGCCCCTGATTCCCGAGCGATCATCAGACTTGTAGCGTGGGTGGTGTAAGAATTAGCCGAATCTACACAGTCCCAAAGTTGCAATTCCAACCGCTCAAAAGCTATGCTTGGCAAAGGAGTAGGGTTAACACCTAGCAATACCGATGCTTCTAAGTCATGGTACGCTTTTTGGAGATGCTGGTTGCTTCCTAGCGAATCCAGGCTGGATGCTTAGTATCTGGGTATGTTGAAAGCCAGGGTCCCTAGCACATATCTGCAGTCTTGTATTTCTGAATAGCTTGAAAGAGATCCCTGCGGACGACTTCAAACGTGACGACGAATAGGGACACCCTGAAAACACGTAACACGTACGCCTCAAACATATCAAGCTGCGGTGAGTTCAGAGTGGGGAAAAGAACTAACTTTTCAAATCTCACAAAACATAAATATTTAATGTTGACAACTCAACAGTGAACATCTCAAGAAGACAAATATGAAAAGCCGATGACTTCGGACACTCCCAAATGGCTATCAGGAGTACAACGTAATGCGTCTTTCTGGGACTGATTCACCTTTTTCGAGCCGAAGTGCTGCTTCACACTCATCCTTATCATGATAAAACACGATATCAGAACTAGTTGCTTGGCCAATTCATAGACTCTATCTTGAACCAATTTACTCATCCGATCTCCCGAATGCTCTTCTCCATTTCGAGCTGTCTATCGCACGCCGGCGATGGTGCCATCACATCTAAAAACAGAAATATATATTAGCTCCAGAAACAAGTGAATGCTTTACTTACGCTAGGAACGGAGTGAGTAGTTCGAGCCAATGGCCGCCGCACGATCTGTTGACGCTGCGGTGTTCCCCGGGACCGGTTCAGACCCCGCGGCCGGTTCAGACCCCGCGGCCGGTTCAGACCCGGCGGCCGGTTCAGACCCCGCGGACGGTTCAGACCCCAGGGCTGGTTCAGACCTCGGAACCGGTTTAGACCTCGGGGCCGGCGTCGCGGGCCCTCAATAAGTGTCTTTTTCTGATGCTCGTATTGCTTGGAGAAAAGCTGTGCAAGAAAAAATGTGCACGGGGGCATGTTCTGAATCAACATGCCTGTTGATGCAGTCACAATCTCACTACAGTGCCCACTGACTACGACATCCTCCGTGGTCAACGAGCTTGCGTAGGCGGTCAGTGTGTGGCTGTGTATGTGTGGAGGGGGGGGGGGGGGGGGGAGTTGCCGTTGCAGGCATACATGTAACATACTGGGACATGACTATATTTCTGGTGATATGAGCATATCAACCAAAGAAACGTGGGCAATTGTATTTGTGACCGGCCGGCTGCCATTCTTGGCACTCGCTAATTTCGTTTATAGCTATACAATGACAAAAGTTACAAGAACGTCACTAGCCTGATATTTATCACGTCTTTGGCTATGTTTGAATTGGTGTATGTTTACCTCCTTTTTACTCACTGGCAGTGAATGCCGCGGCCTTGCAACGTACCACCTGTTAATGCCGGTCCGAGTACAGGGGACTGTGAGCCGAGTGTGCAAGGTTGTGTACTCGTGGTCACCCGTGTATGGGTGACAGGTCAATAAAAGAACAACATAGAAATGGACGCTGCCTTAATACGACCTTGGCAGTGTTGCTCATCACTGTCTCTTTAATCTTGCACGAATAAAATGCCAGTTTGTGAAGAATCCACGTTCTTGCGATTGGACGAGACCGCTAGCACCTCATTACACGTATTTTCCATGAATTGCGTTTTAAGCGATCATGCCAAAAAACAACGTAATATACTACGTTTTGTGGTCCTTCATGTTTCATGACATGGTTTTCCGAAGGGCTAAGGCTGTGAGTAGGCAACCTCCATGTACGCTGTGCCTACCTCCATTCATGGAAGGAATAACTGTTCACAAATCATGCTGATTCTGTGCCTAGAACCACGTAACCAAGTTTCCGATCCCTGCGCTCGCCGCTTTTTGTGAATTCGCGGTCGGGGCAGTGAACGAAATCGAAGGAAAACGAAGTCGAAGCATGCCAAGGTCGTGTTACGGATTGGGCAGGCGTTCCCTCACCTTTGTTCTTTGACTTTGTAACTTGATTTCAGATTCTGAAATTTTATCTCTTTTAGGTTTTTGGTGTTGAAGCGTCTCTCTTTTGGGTACTTTCACGACTGTTTATCGCACGTTTGTGTTATTAACTGGAGCAGAAGACCTGCTGTACCCATTTATTGATATGGTGAGCTTCATTTTGCACATTTACGTTAGTCAAGATTTTCTCATTAATTCATCACCATGTCTTGTCTCCGCCTTGTCCCAGGTAACGCTAACAATTTGCCAAAGATAAATGGCAGTATTTCGTGGAAACCATTCGAAATGAATTTATAAATAAAGAAATAAGAATAGCGCTGGCCTCATTGTTAGGCCGACATTACAGAAGCCATTCAAATTGCTGGCGATCTTGTGGCATTCCCACCGCGGCTCTTCGATAGCCGCGGTAGCATGACTGCATCGCTTAACTGGCACAAAAACATACGGTGATAGCCCGTCTTCAGCAATGACTTCCTTTTCTTGACCTGGTGGAACATTACAAAGCTAAATTGACACATCTCTCCTCTTGTGGCAGACATTTACAGTGCCCTTAAAGAAAACAATCCGCTGACTATCAGGAAAGAATTTACTGCCACAAATATAGCCTTATCAGCTCGTATCGCGATCAAGCGTGGGGTGGAAATTGCCGGCTTCAACCTGTTAGCCGGTGTCGCGTGCCTAATTATCAGCTAAACGCAGCGAATCTCAGGCAATAATCCCCGGTTGAAAGGCTCCGACCAAACTGGCCTGATTTCCGGTTCGTTTATAAGACTGAGAACGTGGCGTGCCCGTCAAGTTGGCGAAATCGCTAGCGTCAACGGGAGGAGAAAGAAAAATGTTCCGTTCCAACGTTCATACTGGCCAAACGTTCATACTGGCCAAACGTTCATACTGGCCAGTTGTATTCCAGACAGTCCTTCACATCGTTGATATGTTCAAGTACATATCTAGGCACATCCACATCCACGGTCCAAGTCGCGAGCCCCCTCGGGCGGCGTGACGCCTGCGGAGCTTGCGTGACCCGCGCCCTCGCCTGGCCTGACCGGACCGGCTCCTCGCGACCGCTGACCTTGACGTCCCGGGCCGATTGCACTGATCCGTTTAGAGGCGCAGCCCGGCGGGGCGAGACGCCGCGTCCGCGCCGGCCGTGGCGCACGACGGCCGCGCGCGTGTGCCTCGGGCGCGGGCGGGGAGCGTCCGAACCTGATCAGGCTGATAACTCTGACGGGCGGCAGTCGCCTCAGGGCATTAGGAGCGCTGACGCAGCGGGTGGCCCCGAGGCGCGCCGCCGGCGCTGGCGCCGGCGCGCCGTAAAAACTGCTGAATTTTGTGTCGGTGAGGCGGCCGAGCCGACATAACCAAACAATATCGGCGAGGATAACGAAGTTACGGCCGCGCTAAAGGCCAACGAGCGGTTGCAAGGGAGGTGGAGTAGGTAGCCGCGCGCTCTCGCAGGTTGAGGGAGTGCTGTTTTTCTGGCGCTGATCAGAGGGAGAGAGTGGCTGTATAAACCACACAGTTGGTGTTTAGGGTCGCATTCGCCTCGACAGCGGAAACTTTTAATGATACCCAGAGGCGCTGCAGTGGAGGAGCGCACTAGGCGCAGTTGTTGGCAGACAAAGCTGGGCGCAGCAGAGCGGGATTACCCCGCATCAGTTATGTGTTGTTGGCAGTTCGCGTCTCGTTTTCGACGGGCGTGCAGAGCAGAGGTGACGGTGAAATGCGACGCGGCGCACCGCTCATCACTCCTCCACCCGGCGACGGAAACACCCTCCGCCGCCTACCGATGTCCCCTCAAATATTGATGACCGGCCCGAATGTCTTCACTGGTGCCAGCCAGCCCGTCGCATGGTTTATTTATGCTGTGACCCGATGGCGTTGTTTTCTCTTCGGTGGCCGACAAATGCTTCTCGGGTCGTTTCGCCTCACGCGTTTGGACCCGGCGCCCCATACTCGATCCATTGTTGATGGGTTGGGAGCGGCGAGCCTGCATATTTCAGGTGGTGTTACAGCGCCCGGTGCCTGCGTTCCTGGCCACCCCAGGTGGGAGCCCGGGGCGTGGGGCGGACTCACCGCCGGCGGGGGGTTTCCCGGCAAGCGGCGGGCCTCACGACTAACTAACCTCACGACTGACTGACCTTAGGACTGACTGACCTCACGACTGACTGACCTCAGGACTGACTGACGTCACGACTGACTGACCTCAAGACTGACTGACCTCACGACTGACTGACCTCACGACTGACTGACCTTAGGACTGACTGACCTAACGACTGACTGACCTTAGGACTGACTGACCTCACGACTGACTGACCTCACGACTGACTGACCTCACGACTGACTGACCTTAGGACTGACTGATCTCACGACTGACTGACCTTAGGATTGACTGACCTCACGACTGACTGACTTTAGGACTGACTAACCTCACGACTGACTGACCTTAGGACTGACTGACCTCACGACTGACTGACTTAGGACTGACTGACCTCACGACTGACTGACCTTAGGACTGACTGACCTTACGACTGACTGACCTCACGACTAACTTACATCGCAAATCACGACCTTGTGACCTCACGACTCACTCACGACCTCACAACTCGCCACTGGCTGGTACGCCCCGAGCGGAACGAGCGTGTCATCCCGCTCACATGTCGGCCGCGGCCGGTGAGCCCACCACGGGATGAGGTGCGTTATTGAGGCCGGGTCACTGTCTGTGCCCTCCTGCGATGACCCCGGGGGCGCCGCGCGCTGCCAGATGGCGAAGACCCGCTGTCGGTGGCATCACTACCGTCTTGTCCATCTCTGGGGGTCATTCGAACCAGAATTACTCCTGGGGTTATGGCTGTTTGATCGATCCCCGGTCTTCATATCGCGAGGTCATGCTGCTTATTTGGTGGGCGATCCGTCTGATCCCAAACAAAATATTAGTTGTGTTTTGGCATATCACAACTTGGTGAATGTGACAGGTTGTCGCTATGCCAGAGCATGTGTTGGCATGCAATTGAAGGACCACATCCTGGATGTTGCGTTACTGTGATAACGTGTTTTATGGAAATGCGAGTGAGCTTATGGTGCTTATGTGCTTGAGAACTGTGAGACTTCTGGGTATGCATGCCATATTGAAGCTCATCAACCCCACCGAAAAGCTTTTACCTAGCACAGTGTTTGCACGTTTGGTCTAAATGTTTTTTTTGTTTATTGATTTAATGTCGCGCCTTGATTGCTTTACTGGCTTTGATATTGCTATCAGCGCGCGTCTGCAGTACCGGCAACCGAGGCAGACCAAGCTGGGAGCGTAACGGACAGCTTTCGGACCTACCAAGACGGTGAAGCTGCAGACCTCCCCACCAATGGCAAGCCTCATGTGGAAACGGTCCCACGTGGTGAATGAAGCTTGCTTATGACCCGTCTATGTAGTTAATACCTATTCAATTTCCTTAATACCTATCCATGTCCGCCCTTCGTTTTCAAATGGTACTGCTATGCTAAAGAATGTATCACAGGGACGGCAGTCATCGACGGCGATGCGGGAGACGGGGGGGGGGGGGGGGGGGGGGGGCTTAGGGCTTTCTTATGTCATGTGTGCGTACCAGCTGTCATATGTACATACTCCTACATATGTACGTACTCCTATTCGATAGTTTCTGTTTCTAATTTCACGCAATCCAAACACCCGCTGTGGATTTATAACGTGACTGGGCGCTGTCGTTATAACGGCAGCGCTTGATAGTTCGGTGGAGCGCGCAGCCCCCTGCTGGCATAACTGCCAACACAAATAAAGGTCATCCTCGCGCTTTGCTGCATTGCTCCAGTTTATGGGGGATTGAGCGCTGCAAAACAACTCAGCCCGAGTCCCATCTGGAGGGGTGAGCTAGCGGTGGCGTCTTGCGGCAGAGTCTATCGTGGGATGTTGAGGTCGTTTTTTGCGTGGAGCGCTGCGCAGACAACTGCAGGCGCCGCAGGACTCGATAGATGCCCATCTTTGTTCAGGAGAGACTCGAAACGTGGCTTGGGGCTTAGTGCCCCCCCCCCCCCCCCCCCCCACCTGCTGCCAGACACTGTAAGCTGGTGCAGTCTCCATGGCACCGGTTTTAGAATGACGCAGACCTACAACTGTTTTAAAAAATATCTAACGGCACTTGGAGAAGGGCCTGACAATGCGTCCTCTTACTAACGTTCGCCAATGTCATATTATCAAAAGAAGTTTGAGAGGAAAGGCGATGGGTCGGGTCGGGTCGGGTCGGCGTGAGTTGCCAGAGGAAGGGCTATTGTGAGCTGCAGGCTCAGGCTCAGGCTTTCTGCACCAAGGCCCTGGCAAGAGCAGCCAGCCATAAGGCACCAATTCGTCGCCCGGTAGCGCTATTTTGTGACGTAAACGCGCCAGGAAATCACTTGAATACAACTTTTGGGGGGTACCACATGCTAAACAATCGTAGGGTACTGCAGTTCACTCTTCTGTGACGTGCTATGACACGCTGACCGCAGTTTCCTTCGTGTCCACGCAGTGCAGGCACTCTAACACATGACGACGATGGAGTACCGGTCCCCAGAGGTCGGTCGGCCGTTTTTGGTTTGCATATCTGGCGCGGTTCCTTACTTCTGACTTCAGTGTAGCTCGCGTATCCGGCCGCTGTCGTGCAGCTCACCAACACCGCCGTGAGAACCGGCGCGTGAGTTGGCGACGTTAATGACACGCCCAGCAACAGGCGTCGATGAATAATCCAGGGCGGTTAATCGGCGACAGCGGTGCCCTTTCGTCCCGCCTCTGCCCAGACAAGCGCCGACATGCTCCCTCCACCGGCGGCGAAGCCCGGGGCCGTGCCGACTCGACGTCCGGGGTTTCAGAGAAGTTCTCGCACTTCGACTGGGGTTCGGAGGAGAACATGCAGCGGTACGGGCAGCGCACGCCGCCGGAGTACACCCTGGACCGGGTGACGTGTCCGGTAGCGCTCATCTGGGCCGACAACGACCTGCTGGCTGACCCCCAGGTGAGGGGGCCACCGCGGCGGGGACGCTCAGGTGGCAGGCGGGATCATCTGACCCCCAGGTGAGGGGGCCACCGCGGCGGGGACGCTCAGGTGGCAGGCGGGATCATCTGACCCCCAGGTGAGAGGGCCACCGCGGCGGGGACGCTCTGGTGGCAGGCGGGATCATCTGACCCCCAGGTGAGAGGGCCACTGCGGCGGGGACGCTCTGGTGGCAAGCGGGCGCGGATCTGCTCGTCCCGGCCGCGGAGTGGGGAGGAGGCTTCGCTGAAGCTCCAGCGTGAAGGCGAATGGCCTGACCTGGCCGCCGGTCGACAGGAAGACGCCGGGCTGGTGCGCCGGGTGGTGGTGCTCTGTTCTGGGCCGTGAGCTGAGGGGAAGGTTATAATCTGAGCTCTGGAACGGGGCAGGTCATGGCCAGCTCTATCAGGGCAGGGCTACCTACCGCTAAATGCGGCAAACAGGCCGACAACCATCAAAAAGGCCTTCAAACCTGCCGTAAACCATCATCTAGCAGGCTCTTCAAGAACTCTCGCTTCGGCGGATCTTCGAGCTGAGTGAAGTGGCACCGAAATACCCCAGCCATAACCCTTGATCCGTCATCGCAGCATTCAGGGCAAGCCTCATAGCCACCATTGACAGCTTCTCGTAATTACCATCTGGCGCCTCTTCCGCTGAACCCGACTACATAGACAACAGGTGATGACTGCATCCCCGCTTAGCCTCCTTCTGCGAGCTGGGCGCCAGAAGGAACTCCTAAGAATCCCTGCCACCAGCAGCCAGTTAACTGACGCCACGAATGAACCTCCAGTGAAATACAACTCACCTTATGCCAGCTGTTGCCGGGCGTCAGGTCCTCCAAAGCCACATCACCTGACCTGACCTTTGCGCCAACTTCGTTTGCCACTTCCCGAGCATGCTCAGTTCTCGTGGGTTTCCATAGCCTTTTTACTGATGCCTGTCGAGCGTCGCAGCTCTGCTTGTTAGTTGGAGGTAAAGCTCTCTGGACTAGGCTTACAAGAATAAACGTGCGCATGATCAATGGTTCGGATGATCCTACCTGCACCATACACCATTGATCTTTTAATGATATTATTTCCGCTGGGCTGTAGTGAGCCAATCTATTTTCTTTTTTAAGAGAACGCGACGCACGTCGTCACACCCGTTTTATCGAGCGCCAGCGGCTGCATTGGCCACGTTAGCGCTCGTGGGCCGTGTCGCACCCTGGATTCGAACCCGGGATCTCCACGTGGGAGTTCAACACACTAACCACTCGGTCATTACGCTCCGAGCCAATATATGAATGATTTGCGTCGGTCAATGGACCGATGGCTGAGCTTTATTTTTCTTTAGTTGATTTCGGCTGCACATATCCCACCCCTAAAATAGCGTGCAGCTATGTGCCCTGTCTAAACGACCAAGTGAAGCACATCTACTGCGTAAGCGCCAGCGAATACGGGTCAAGGATGCACAACAATCTTTGAATTACGACCAAACCATAGGGCTCTTGATTTTATGCTATTCTATCGCACGAAAGCTGCCCGGCTGCGGTCAGACGAGCATGAGTTACCAATAGGATGGATTGAAAAACAACAAATAATGCTTCTCTATTGGTCGACCTAAATAGTCTCCATAGCAACCCCGTCTGTTGCATCATGCTCGCGGAAAATATTGGGATACACTTATACTGTTCTTATTGAGTTATAGGTAGTTTGAGATGCATAAAATGTTAAGTAAAACTGCATCCAATAATGCACCCACTGTAGGAGTTACGGCGTTAAATGTTGCAAAGTTGTATCAGCATCAGACATGGCATCAGCATCCCGCGCCACCGCAGCCCAGTGTCGCGAAAATGTGTGCAACATCCAACCTCCGAGGACAGCATCTGTGTGCAGACAAATCTGGACCCCGTTTGTGGCTCCCGGGCGACGAGTCAGCTGAATGAAACGAGGACGCAGTTCTTGACGTTACTAAATGCCGGCCCGCATGCAGGTGGGTGCGGCCACCGCCCGCTTCGTACCATTCATTAAATATTCTGGCAATTAACGACCAGATGGCACGCCATAGTAGCATGACTGCCGGGTCATGCTTACAGTTTACAATCTACATGTGTCCAAATTGATGCCTCTTTTTATGAAGCTGACCTGGTTCGTGATGACTCGGATGCTCTCGGCGTAGGCGGTGGTGCCATCTGTGTCGCCGGCAATAGTTTGGCGACCGTCTGTACAGCACTTGTGTTCAGGAGGCCTTCTAGCAGAGATCCTGTGTTCATCAGACCTTCTTGAAAGAGCCTTGTGTCCAGCAGAATTCATTTCAGAAGCCGATGCTCTGACAGATTACTTGCATCGGTCTCACCACGCGGGGAATGGTGCTGACGCACCCTCCCCAGGTTTCTCTAATTTTTGACATTACGCCCATCGGCGCAGCTTGGAAAGAAACGCCTTAAAAAACGACGTCTCCTCCAATTTCTGACCTGATAAACTTCGTGCAAGAAGGCCTTCTGAACATGGGGGCTTAGGAAGTAGGTCTCCTAGATGTAATCTTTACGCAGGTGGGCACTCTGAGCACATAGTTTTTGGGAAGAGGCCTTCTGAACACAGAAGAAGAGCAGAGTAAACTCATTGAATGCGGGTCTCTTGAAAGCATGAATGACTTCGGAATGCAAGCTGTATGGACGTAGGCCTCCCGAGCGTAGGCCTTCTTGAAAATGAAATTTCTGAAAGGGACCTCACGACCGGATGTGACCTGTAGCATGACATGTCAGACCATACGGTCAAGCCCTGAGTGCATGTGCCGTTTCCTCAAGAACAAAGCGTGGTTTGGCAATAACCCAAACGACGCTGGACGGCGCGTGCCAAAGTATGTCGTAAGCATGCCAAAGTATGTAGTAAGTAAGTAAGTTATGTCGTATGTATGTCGTATGCCAACGTATGTCGTTAACTCGACTAACGTGGCCTGGGGTATATAAAACCCCGTCATGAAAGGTAAAATAACACTCCGGGATGATATTTTACCTTATAACATTTCGCCTAGCTTGACCTGCATGACCTGATAGTATTACTTTAGAGAATCACGCCATTATCACGCGGTGTGATGAAAACACAGCAAATTAGTGCTGTAAAGACATTTAGAACAGCTATTCCACTACGGGCGTCCGCTATCGATCGTATGAACATGAAAGGTGACCGGCATGACCTTGATCAATAAGTATTTCGTTATGGTTAAACATTAAGAGCGGTGAATCGTTACCGAATATGAAGATCTGTTGGAAGGTAGATCCGTGAATTTTCTTAACTTTTGATCAGACAGCACTAACAGCCTTACTCCCCGTACAATAACCAGGAGAATGGAGAGATGTATCGATATCTTGATATTTCGGCTGCATGCCTCATCGAGCCTGGTGTCGGTAGATACACTACTGATCTTAGTTTCAATAACGGCATGCACAGGTCTGCATAGACAAACTAATATCGGTAGATGTACTGCTGGTAGGTCTTTACAAAGCTGTTTATCCCTTTTGAAATTTAAATGGTGTGCCCTGGTTCAAATTCAACGCTCATTAAGGATGGCGTTTTTGTGCGATCTTTCATGTCGCTAAGTTGCACCATGTCACACCGGTATGTACCATGTCTACGCAGTCGTTACGCAGTGATGATAATTGCCTACAGGACGTAATGCAAAGCTTGACTCAAAAAACAAAAAATATCCACTCTAGGCTATCAAAACGTGCGCGAATGTGAGTGCAGATATTGATAAACCGACCGTGACACGATTCCAACAGCAACGGCGTGCTCCCTCAGTCTGCGTTGAGTAGGACATTTCTCTTGGAATCCCACTGGAGTTCCGAGCCAGTTTCCAGGTCAAAGGTCGAACGCACCGGCCCGGCTAATTCTGCGATCGAGCCGGGGTACATCCATCCCCAGGCAGTCCTGCCAACGAACAATCCGACACTGTATTACTCCTGAAATCCCTGGATACACCACACTGCCAAGATTCTCTGTGTGTAATTAGCCATGCTCACCCAGTAATTAGTAATTACCGTAAGCTGTAATTATCGGAGGCCCCCAAGTCCGAAACGTATTAGTGCCCTGAAAATGAGATAGCGACACACGAGTTGGGAAGTCCTTGGGCGACCAGGCGTCCTTAGGTGCGGGCGGCGGTAGGAGGAGAAACACAGACATGGCTGCCAGCCGGGTTACGATCCTAGGAAGCGTGTACAAGCCATCGCTACATAATGTGAAGTCCAGTGCCATCCTTTTATTCTTTCCCTCAACGCGACCCGACTGCAGATGACCGCCTCTTTCCTTGCATGCATGGCTCCATGTCGGAACAACTAGGTGGAAGAGCGATGTTTTAGCTTAAGAAAGCAGTCCATTCGTACGAGCTTAGTTGTGTTGGGGTCAGTCAGGTCAAGGAAAATAGACAAAAGCCTTTTGCCAGGTTATGGCTAACATAATCAGATGACGGAGATAAGAGGCGCATCGTAATCACCACATACATTGCGGAAAGTGTTCTGTCATTAATGACTGCCAAAGCTGCTACCGTGCGGGCCTTTTACTCAGCTGCAGACGCGGCAGACGAAAGGAACTACAGCTGACTGTGCCGTTTACAGTTTCTCAAGATATTCTGCTAAAACGGTCAGGTCGGAAAATATGCGCCAGGCTTTTACCATTGTTTCAATATAGGTGTCGATGAGCCGGTTTCTGTTATCACCTTCAGGCAGATATGGAGATCGATGATCTGTTTTCTATAAATTAGCCCCGATTTTTCTTAGATTCTAACCTGTCTTGTTGAGAGGCGGGCGCGCGTGTTTGATATTACACCACATGATTAATGATATCGGGCCGATCTTTGGCGACCTAATGTCACTGCATAAAATTTAAAGCTAAGGTATCCAAGCAAACAAGAAAGGTCATGTTCTCTCTTCGCGTAGGCGCCTTTGGGTTTTATAAGTCCTCTCTAAGAGATAATAGGGGCTTATACCCTCTCCCAGACGCCACGAGAACGCATTTCAGAGAGGCAGTAAGGAACGCAGGGATGATATGGTCAAATTCATGCACAGGCGGAAAGCTCTTGAACATAAAGAGGAGGCAGGTTTAAGGGACATAGCAAGCCTGCTGTCTTTGCATCTCGTCTCTGTTGGTCTGTGACACTTACCGTAGCCTTCTGGCAGGACGTGTCCTGGCTGGCCGAGAGACTTCCGAACATCGTGGAGAAGTACCGCGTTCCGCTGTCCTCCTTCAATCACCTGGACTACCTGTGGGCCATCGACGGAGACAAGCTCGTCTACAACCACCTCATCGAGAACATGCAGAAGTACTGAGGCTCACTGCCACCAAATCGCAAGCGGCAAAAGGTTTCATTTCAAAGAGTTCCAAAGCGATACTATATGAAATGCATTATTGGCAACTGGCTACAAACTGCATCGTGGCAAAACGAAAAGATCAGCAATACAAACATACGCCAACAAGCAGACAACAGCTATCAAACAGATGCGGACGGATTCGCCCCTAAGAACGTCCCAATGCAGATGCCTCAGTCTCCGGACGCTCTCGCCGCTGAGGGCGGGGGACACCGCCCCGCCGTAGAACGCCACTTGACAGCTCTCTCCCGGCACACGTGCCGGCCTCGCTCGTTCCCGGGGCCGCGCCAGCCGGGGACGTGGACTCCACGTCGTCACCGCGCCACTGCGGATGTCCGTTCATAATCAAACGCCAGCGCAACAGCCGAGCCTGCGGCATCGGCCTGCAGTGGGCTGCCGGGAAAGCCGTCAGGTCTGAGAGAGGCTCTCTGCAGGCGAATTCGGCGCCGGAGACGGCTCTCCTGCCAGGCTGGGCCTCCCTATGGGGTAAGATTTCTCTGCAGGAGGGGTCGCTCTTTCAGGGAGGTCTCCTCTACCATGTGGGAGTGCTCCTGCTTGGGTGCCTGCTTTGCTGGAGGGGACCTTCGTCACGAACACCTCCTAGGCCGGGGAGGCCTACTCTGCTTGGGAGAGGACATTAATTGGGGAGGAATCCTGTTGCGAGCAGGGTCCCACAGTCGGGTATGGATCCTCTAACATGACTTTATCAGAAAGGTTTCTTGAGGGTAGGGAAAGGTATCAGGAAAGGTTTCTTGACCAGAGCGTCCTCATCCGGGAGGGTCGCTCTGCCGAGGATAGCTCCACAGCTGGGTTCCTCAGCCGGGGGTGGCTCATCAGGACAGCTTCTCAGCCTGGGAAAACTCCTCATTCGGGACGGAGTGAGCCGGCGTCGCCCGCCGCCACCGCTCCTGCCGCTCGCCGCCACTGTTCTTGCCGCCCCCCGGCCGCAGCGCCTAAATAAAGTCAGCCACCCGTGCTCAGATCGGTCGGGCCTGCAGGCATTAAGCACGACTCACTAAACTTGTTTGTGCTACGCATCATTTAATCACGCCCTGAAGTATGCAAATGGGCCACTGAAAAGGTAATGCTGGTCCCCTGGCGGGGCCTTCGCGGTTGCCGGGGCGTGACGGGCCGGCCCCAGTATCCGCGCGCCGGCACTAGGGCGCCCTCCAAAGGCAGTGGGCCTCCTCGACGGGCCCCGGGCCGCGCCTTCATGGCAGGAAGTTGGACAGGCGAGTGTCTGACGCGAACGGTGGACGAGACCATTAAGAATGGCGACCGCTCGCCGGCCAAGTTCGCTGCAGAGGCGGTCCGAAGTGGGACGGCCATGACCTTTTCAGAATTACACCAGGAAAGTAATTTTGAAATCTGGCCTGAGAACGCTGAGCCCATCTGCCCCCTCCCCCTGCAGTAATCGTTTCTGCTGTGAGCCCAAATGGTGCGGAGCGGTCGGTTCGGCGGACGTCGCTGGCCGCATCGGCCGCCGAGCCGTCGTTTCTGCCGAGGCGCGGCGCTCGCGGCGATAATGGCACGGACTGTTAGCGGCGGCCATTCAGGCGCGCCGCGCTAAAAAGGCCGGCGACGGCGACGCAGTGCCGTCCCTCGCTCGGTGCATGCCTAACTGGACACTAAATCAAGATGGCGGCGATCTGCAGCGGCCCATTTATCCCGCTATTGAGAGTGTCGCAGTGCAGATTTACCGGGCACGGCGACGGCGGCGGCGGCGGCGGCGGCCGCCGCGCCGGTCCGAGCGCGGCATGGGAGGCCGGCCAATCAGAGCTGCGGCCGCGGATGGCTGCGTTCGGCCCGCGAATTAAACCGGCGCACTATTGATCAGCAGACGCGGCCGCGGCCGTCGAGCCCTCGGGACGCGTCGTTGACGGACAGCCCGACATCACTGTATCAATTACGACGGACGCGCCGCAACTGGCGCCGCTGGCATAAGTTATGACGATTGGAGCTCGCGAGCTAAGCGGGCTAGCTCCGCGTTGCCCGGCGGAGCCCACTTTGCATGCTCGCATCCGCCGCGTATCACTCAGTTTCAGAAATTTCGTTCCGTGTGAGAAAGCCGAGAACATGGAGTGTTCAGTTGGAATCATGCGGGCACAATGGCGTTTTTCTGACCGAAACATTTGAAACGTTCATATTCAGCATGATCTCCATTACATTACATTTTCATGATTTCCATTACAATTACCATGATTTCATGATAAATGTAAGGCGGACAATGCCCTGCTGCCCGTTCCAACGTTATTGGTGTTTTAGGCACTCCATTTTGAAATCCCACATCATTGATATCTTGGCTCTGAATTATTTTTTGAGGGTCATTTGTTTAGGGATTCTTGACCTTTGCATGCGTTGCTGAACTGATTCCAGCGTATGTTGGGTGCATTGTCTTTGTATTGCACTGAGAGGTATGCACAGTCTAATTCGCAATATGTTTTCAATCACTTTAGTCCCCGACTTTGCTTATTTGCAACCCAGAGATCGAATTGGAGGCTAGAGGCAGATTCCGATGTTGGCTAATTTCTTTTCCGGTTTGCTTTGGGTATGACGTCACCAGCGAGGCCGGTACACGGGAACAACGCTAAGCCACTCAGAAAAATAGACGCGCTGCAGCTGAGAAAAATCCGCAATGCTCAAATGCTACGCTTTCCGCTAAGATAATGCCTTTGGTCGTATAGCAGAAAGAAGCGTAGCAAAAAAAGTGCAAAATGCAAATGCTACCGTTGTCCAGTGCGGGAAGTAAGCAGAACGTTGTATGAACCCGATCTCTTTCAATAATTTTTGTTTTCATAGGTTTAACGCCGGCATCTTTTTTCGATTTTGTAAAAATCTGCGGAAATGTTTTTGCTGCAGGCTCAGGGAAAGTTTCAGAAGTGAAGGACGTTAACTTACCCCACGAGTACCATCACGTTTTTTTCTGTACGCCGAACGTAAGGAAAGCGACGTGTACCTCCAACTTACGACATGTTTTTTTTTTCGTTCAGTGACCTACAACCGCACGCAAACATAGTCCCTGCATATCATTTAACATTTATGAACATTCATTCACCCCTGGTGCATAAGAAATTAGACACCACCGTCATGTTGCTGATGGCAGCGTAGCTAAAAATGTCGCCTAGTAATTTGGGACTGTGAAGGCAGGAGGACTGAAACTTTTATGCATGTACGACCTCATGCGTGCTTGCCAGATGGTCCAAAATTGCGAATGTGCCAACTGCACATGATTTCAATACTATATTACAAGTAACAATGCTATACATACAGCAATACAATTCTGCATATACGCAAAAGCACGATGTTACAAGTAAAGAAGATCAAATTGCTGAAGTTAACTGATGAAGTGAAGTAACGTGAAACATTACATTCAATGGTGCCATGGGAGTGAGCGCAAACTGCGCAATGGCACCGATTCACCCACTAGTGATAACATGTGGGATCGCCGTCGTGGAGCATGTTAACCGCAATGACAACTGAATCATATTATATGGCCATAGCATTACCTGACGCAACTCAATCATGATGTATGGGCGCGGCACCACCCAACTTTAACCAAGCACGGCATATGACCCACCACCTGACGCAAGTCAGTCATGGTGTATGGTCGCGGCAGCACCCAACTTTAACCAACCACTGCGTTTGGCCCACCACCTGACGCACTTGACCACCCCCACGTCATCCGATCCTCTTCTGACACACGGGCTGCGTGTGCCGATCTGACCCTGAAACGTCTCTTGAGTCGGCTGATCTGTCTCCGAGCCACTGCTCGTGCGTGTCGGGCACCCTGACCCTAGTCCCTGAATCCCTGAGTTCATCCAGAGGACCAAACCTCGGTCAGGGCCAGCGGTTAGCATCGAGCGCGGCCTCCCGCCCCACCGGTCCGAACAACCGGAAACAGACACTTTCGCGCTGTCACATCTCATCTGGCAGCAAAACATCATCACGACGAGCGCGCCACAAACGCCGCAGCCGCAGGGCGAACTCGGTGCCAGAGCGGCCTGCGCCACGCTCCGCCGGACGAGCGCGGCGCAGTGTGGGCGGCTCACAGCGGAAGGTTCGCACCGGGCCGCGGATTCCCTCGTCGCGTCGCTCGTGACCAACTGCCCCCTCCGCACGGCGCCGTCGGCCGCGCCAGGCCGCGGCCACCAGCGCCCCGTCGCGCGGCGACCAGCGCCTGTTATCGACGCGCGGCGAGCCGGCGTCCGCCTTCGGAGAAGCGGACTCATTGTGGCCGGTATCAGCGCAACGCCTGATCCATTCAGCCGCGCGCCGAGCCGCCCGCATCTGGCTCCGACCTCTCGCACCGCCCGTCAACAGCGACGCGACCCGGCATCGGCGGCGGCGGGCCGGCATCGGCGGCGGCGGGCCGGCGTGGTCCGCGGCGCGGCGGTCCAGGCGGTCACACCGGCGCTGGGGATCCCACTTAGTCATTGCTTACATGAGAGGCGACTTGGACCGGCAGTGACGCGTGTGTGGTGCTGGCTACATCGGCCAGCTAGGCGCTAATTCAGACCGACGGCCGAGTCGAAGAGGGCTATAAAGGCGCAGAACAACGCGGATGAGACGGGGAAGCCGGCGCTTGCTGACGTAGTAGGACGGACAGCTGATAGGACTGGTCGTGATGCAGCAGCGAGGAGCAGGTCACAGAGTGACATGGATCTAGCAACGAGTTATTTATGAGCGGCTGTCAGATGTGGCCATATACCGCATAATCACATCAGCATCGCAACCGGGGTGTCTGGGCTCTGTGCGATCTATTACAGCGCTATTGTTTAATAGCATTAAGGCCTGGCACGGGGGAGATAATGATTCTGCCTATCACAGCTGGCTCCTCAACATTATGCATAGCAGCGTGGGCTGTGCTCTGGACCCGGGGATAAATGCCATTATAAACAACGCGATATGCTGTGAGGAGAGGAGTTCTGGTCGGAGAATACGCCGTCCGAATTCAAAGCAGATGCGTCATTAACGCATTTCAAAGTGTTTGCAAAACAACCAACCTTTGCTCAAAAGCTACGTTTCTGACTGTAACCGGCGTCTGCAATAGCTTGAAGGGAGTGTTCCACTTTGGTATGGGGTCTTGAACTGAAGCCGCCATCTTGAAGATCATTCAGTGCAGCTCACAGCCCTGACCTAAAACCTTCTAGTTTCTCAGCTACACACCCGCGAAGATGCGCAGACTATGTCGTGCAGGCTTTTTTAAGGCTCCCCAAGTATCCATGACGGCACAGAAACGCCATTCAAATTATGCCATTCCACTTGTCAAATATAGTTGTTGAGTTATTCAAACACGGCGTTCGTGAGCACGATTTTCGGACATCATGGGGATCGATTGGTTCTCGACACGTATTGTGCAAGCTATGCAAGATTCTCACACGATGGTTTTTAGTTTTGAATTAGATCCTTTTCGACCAGAAATGATTATTTAAGGGCTATGGGATGAAGGGAAATAGTTAACAATGGGGCAGACCTGCATGCGCCTGGGAGGCCAACCGCCGAGCTTTAACTCGCGCACGTGCGCTAGGTACCCGGTGGGGGTACCCTTCCCATGGGGCTTTTGGCCCACTTGTGGCTGACACATGCAGCCTGCCCCGGACAAGCACCGCGTCGCGGGGATGCAAGATGAATAACTTAACTTACCTTGAATAATAACTTAATAACTTGTATTTGAATAACTTAGGAAAAGTGTTATAACCGAGTATGTGAATGCCAGTAAGCACCCAAAACTCCCGGATGAATATGCAAGAACAGCACGAGAAAGGGTCAAGTCACGAGCACCCAACGATGTTTGGTTCAGCACACATCCAACACCGCCGTGGGTTACCTCTCGGGACATAGGAGCGAGCGCTGTCATACAAACGTTCCATGACGTAGTCATTGAATGACGTAATAAGGAGTACATTTACTAAATACAAAAATTGTGTTGTCTAGCCTTTCTTTTGTCCTTTTCACTCAAAAGTATGCCGATAGTGAGCTTATTTCATCAGATTAGTGATCTTATTTCATAAGATCCGATGCTTGCTTCAGTTTCTTTAAATGTGATATTTCCTTTGAAATATAATTCGAATGATAGATAGGATCTACCTGTGACCGCCGAATCCAGCACGCACCAGTGCACAGGTATCTGTGATACTGCTACCAATGGTGCCAGCCTGTGCGCTGTCAGAAGGGAAAGGCTCCATGCAAGATTACTTTATTTTATGAGCTACACTAGAATGGTCGAGATCGTGTCTTTTCACTCCCTTTTTTTATTTCCATGCACTTAACCAGTAGTATCACCTAATAAGTAATTCCGTGCCAGGGAAAGACGTCTCCAGTTGCATCAACGGGCATGTGCTGGGCGGCGGCTAGAAACTAGGCTCCATTGCTCAGTCGGCACAAACTGTTGGAGCTGTTGGACAAGATGCGGATGGAGCACGCAGTCTACCAGAAAGCAATGCTACGACTGCACTTTTTCTGCCTGCCTGAACGCGGAGCAAGTTACACCTGTCGACATTGGGTACACATTTTCCAAGCGTTCTACAGAAAAACGCTAGGCGCCGTGTGGCTCGTACTGCCCGTCGGGGGTGAACAGAATAGAACTGTTGGTGGTAGGGGGGGGGGGGGATCGCATCGTGTTGAGGGCGGTGTTGATCGTCGGGATCGACGCCACGTGTCTGCAGTCCATCACTGCTGTCGGGCGGCTGACGTGGACGAGCGAGATCACTACCATGGAGAGTGGAGACGAGATGTACGCTAGATGTTATTCGTCGTCCGGTCGTAAGCCAACGCGTGTTTGTAATGGCGCTTGCTCCGCTCAACAGATCCGCCGGCTGCGAGTCTTGAATTGTCCAGGGTCAAGGGCGCTTGAGCTCTACGGTGCAAGCATGCATAGTTTATAGTTTCCATGTATGGTATATACTTTCTCTGCAAAGTGATGACATGACTTCACAATTTCGCAGGATGGTTAAATTTTGAGGACCAGCTTTGGATGGTCCAGATCATATCCTTCCAGCCGCTTTTATTTGCATTATTCTGTTCCCACACCTAAAAAAAGAGCTGGCGCTGGGACATTCTTGGCCGACGAAGAAGACCACAGCAAAGATGGGTTCTTAAAAAACAAGGCGAGAGGACACCACGCTATTAAGGGGATGGTTATTGTATGCGCTCTCAGAAGGCCAGATGTCAGCGTTACACGAACCTGGCAGGTTCTGGCCCGTTCCAAGATCCATTACAATCACTACCAGCAAACGACACAAAACAGAGTCCACATGTTCGTTCCCCGATCACCTCAGAGCAAAGTACGGTCCTGCCTGAGCAGGCCTGAAGGTGGGTTTGTGGTGCGTTCCAGCCGTCCCCGGAACCATCAGCTATGCCCACACATGGCGCGTGACCCATTTCCCAGTCGTGCACGTGTAGCGGAACGTCGCCGCTGCGGACTTGGGTCATGCAGCTGTTAGCACTAGAGGTCCAGAGGAGACTTACTAGCCAGCTGCCCGGCTCGCTCCGCAGTACTGGGGAGGGTCGGGCCGCTGCGGACTCAGGTCATGCAGCTGTCAGCACTAGAGCTTTGAAGGTCGGGCCGCTGCGCACCTGGGTCATGCAGCTGTCAGCACTAGAGCTTTAAGGGTCGGGCCGCTGCGCACTTGGGTCAAGCGGCTGTCAGCACTAGAGCTTTGAAGGTCGGGCCGCTGCGCACTTGGGTCATGCAGCTGTCAGCACTAGAGCTTTGAAGGTCGGGCCGCTGCGCACTTGGGTCATGCAGCTGTCAGCACTAGAGCTTTAAGGGTCGGGCCGCTGCGCACTTGGGTCATGCGGGTGTCAGCACTAGAGCTTTGAAGGTCGGGCCGCTGCGCACTTGGGTCATGCGGCTGTTAGCACTAGAACTTTAAAGGCTGGGCAGCTGCGCACTTGGGTCATGCGGCTGTTAGCACTAGAGCTTTGAAGGTCGGGCCGCTGCGCACTTGGGTCATGCGGCTGTCAGCACTAGAGCTTTGAAGGTCGGGCCGCTGCGCACTTGGGTCATGCGGCCGTTAGCACTTGAGCTTTAAAGGTCGGGCCACTGCGGACTTGGGTCATGCAGCTGTTGGCACCAGAGCTTCAGAGGAGGCTCGCTCGCCAGCTAGTCGGCTCGCTCGGCGGTGGCGGGGAGGGCCGGGCCGCTGCGAGCACGGTGCTTTGCTGACCGTGCCGCCGATAAGGCCCAGCCGGTCCTGCTGATCAAGCACTGATGCATTGCACAGCTGGTGACCTACCGTCCCAAAGACACTTTTTCGGTTCGCGGTTCTCGGAGCTCCCGCTCGTGAGTGATGGATGAGATTGTGGAAGGTGGAGGGATGAAACTATTGAAAACCCAGCCATAACGGTTAAAAACTTCTGTGCCCCGCGTTGGTGTGAGATCTTTGGGTCCTGGGAGCGCACGATAAATATTCTAAACGAAAGGTCTCATCATACTTTGAACCACTACAGCGTTATACCTTCAGAACACGAGAGTATCGGGCAAAATGCTTGCATTGTTTTGGCCACCTTTTCCAAAATCTCAAAGCAAGTGGCTGCGATGCGATTTGAGAAAATCGATTTGAGGAGTGCCTTGTTTGCTCAAGCCAGATGTGTCCAGCCCAGACTTGACTTGTTTGACACCAGCCTTAACAAGGCTCCCTCGTCTATGCCACTCTGTGAGCAATGTTTGCGACGCATCGATCTGGACCTGGCGACCGTTGCTATTTCTGCTAATAGACTTGCGCTCGCCATATTATTCGCCTCGATATTTGGTTCACGTCATGGGACTAGCCCGGCCGTTGTTAGCTATTGGGTTGGCTAAACATGAGCAATTGTGATTAATTGTGTTGGTTAATTGTGTCATCAACAAGATTAATTGTGCGCTGTCATCATAGAGAAGCGCACCCAGATGCTTTGGTGCATGATCATGGGCAGGGTAGAGCCCAGGGGAGTTTGCCTTTCTACGTTCACGTGTAAAACAGCGCACCCCTCCTCATTTCGAAGCTCAGAATGTTACCTCGGCCGCTATCGAACCGTCAGGAGGCACCGACTGCGCCTCTTTGCGCAGAGAAACGTCAGGACACGTCTGCAACACCCGAACACTCCCGAAACCGAGCCGAGCACGCCAGCTACCATTCCGCCAGACTCGCAGCAATCTGATGATAAGATGGCGACATTCGTGGCTGGCCGGACCGGGCGCGGGCGGCGGCGGCCATGAGAGCAGCGGCGCGGCGCGCGCCGGCTGCCCCAAGCGCCGACATCCTCTCGGTGGCCGCTCGCGCGGCGGACAATGCGCCCGCGGCGCGCGGCGCGGCGCCGCGGGGTGCCATTGTCCCGGCGGCCGGCGCACCGGAAGCGGCGGGCTTCCGTGCGAGTGGCCGCGCCTCAGCGGCGTTAAGCCGGCCGGATCAGACCGGCTCTGGCGCCGCCTGACGTCTCGCGTGCCGCCGGCCATCGGCGCCGGCCACCGGCGCGCCGCTCGCCTCTCGCCGCTCGCCTATCACCCCGGCGTCATCCGCCGGGGGCGGCACCTGACGCCTCGCCCGGGGGCCGGGGGAGGCACACCTGGGGAGAGTTGCCCCGCGGGGGGGCCGTCCGGGCGTCGATAGGCGAGCGCGTGCGCGCCGGCCGGCGGCGCGCGGCCGGCGCCTATCGACCGGCCGGTGGCAGCAGTCGGCGCGACCCGGCCGGCCCGGCATGTAGAGAGACGGCGCGATGTCGGCTCGGCGCTGCTGGCGGCTGGCGACGGCCGCCCTCCTCCTGCTCACGGCTGGCTCTGGACGCGTCCTCGGCGCCGACTCCGCGTAAGTACGCTGGCCGGCACACCGCCCGTGACCAGACCCCGTCAGGTCACCGTGAAGACTCGCCTCTTGCGGGACGTGTCGCCGGCTTTCACCCCACCGCCGCCGGTGTGGCTGACCGCGCGTTGCGTGCCGCCCGACTCGGGTGATCTCGTGCGAGTCACGGGGCGGCTCGGACGTCGGCCAGCTGGCGCGGCCTCCGGGCGACCCACGCCGGCGCCGCGGCCGATCAGGCCATCCCTGACCGCCACCGCCCCGGCCACCGGGGCTCCGGGGGCCCCAGCCGGCACCAGGGGCTGGAAGCTGGCAGGAGCTGATGCCGGGACCCGGAGCAGCAGCACCTCCGAACAGGTGGCTGGGTTCATAGCCGGGTGCTGGGTGGAGCGGGGAGTTTGACGCCATGGGTGAATATGTGTGGCAGGTGTGTGAACGACCACACCACCATTGGAATATAAAGTTAACATTCGTCATTGAAGGTCTTTTCTGTTGGGTCATTAACTAGGGAAAGGTTTTTTCGTGTCCAGTGGTCTGAGAAGATATGGAACTCGGACAATAGCAGCAAAGGGACCTGGTAGACGGGTGCTACAGCTAACGAATATAGAGTCCGTTTCGAAACTCAGCTGATTGAAATGAATTGAAACTGAGTTGAGCTCCAACTGAGCACGGAGGGATTGAGGGATTTACCTGTATCTGTAAACCGTTGGCTGAGTGGGGCTTAAGCTGAGCGCTACGGGGGATGAGGGAATACTTAGCCAGGCACCAGAGAAGATGAAAGCATCCGCTCCCGTGCGGGGTTACAGAACTGTGTAGCTGAGACTTTTGTGGCGACCAGGGATCTTTAAGGCCAGACCTTAGCGGGCTGGTCACTGAGATGTCTGAAGTGAGACACTAGGGATCAGAAACGTTCTCTGTACAACGACTTTGGGAAATGATGGTCTCTTCAGGCCGGCTACAGTGGGCCGCGACTCTGTCGCAGATTGTGAGATTTGAAGAGGCTTCTGCCTCCCGGCATTAGTGAACTGAGGGTCTCCGTAATTGGACTATGATAAATTGTGTATCTCTGTAAGTAGACCCAGCGGGATCTGTAGTTATGCTGATGATAATCTTGTTGAGTATAATCCCTTCTACTACTCGAATATGCCATCGTGTTGTCCCTTTGATGATGCTTCAAACTGAGAGGGCTGCAGTAGTTTGTGTGGTGAAGATTTTCATCCCTTGTATACTGTGCTCCATTTCGATTTTTCCTAGCGAGTTGAGAGCATACAGGAAGGGGCACAAAATCTTCATGCTCATGATTTCACAACTTGTCTCCTGAAAGAAAAATAACTTTGTTACCAGTGACGTATTTATGCATTCAAAGTTGTGTTTCCTTTAATGCCCAATATGAGCGTTACCGATCCACATGTGCAACGGCCAGCGAACGGCTAAAACATTTAGAGCGGGAACAACGGTCTATAACTTCCAGTTGGTCCAGGGCTCCTTTTCCACTTGGTATCATAGGACGTATCAAATTTAGCTGCATACATTCTCAACCCGTTTCCTCCTATGCAACCCAACTTTAATCCACGTCTCGTGTATTTCTGTGGCCTTTTCCCTGTCTGTTACGTGAGCGAGCATAACGTCCTCATCTCCTTTTCTCTTTTTCTGTTCTATCCCTTTCTCCCTGTCACTCCCTCCCTCCCTCTCTTTTTCTCTATGTTAATCTCACACGTACACACAAACACACACACACACACACACACACACACACACACACACACACACACACACACACACACACACACACACACACACACACACACACACACACACACACACACACACACACACACACATACACACACACATACACACACAGAGTTGCATACGTATATTTTATGTGTACAAACTTATTATGGATGCAAAGTAGCAGAAATGCACAATTCCCTGCAGAAATACTTGACATCACTATCCACAAAACCCTGATGAAAAAGACGTCGCAGAATGCACGCAAAGAAAAATGGAGGCAGAATGTTCAGAATGGCACGAAATTCCCAGGTGGTCACATTTGTCATTCTGTTGCATCCATAGGCAATCTGAATTAAGATTAGAATAAAGATACCTACGAGACATTTTACATGTAAATGTGTGTACGTGTCAGATAGCATATCAGCAAGAGGAAAGGAAATGAGCCTGGAAGACGTTGTATTTCGAAGTCACGTGGATTCTTCACAGGGCTTCTGCGGTTTTACAGCATGATATGGCACGACTTGACAACACTTGACGAGGAAATGTTGCTTTCTGTATGGGCAGTTGACATCAGAAAGGTAGGAAACGACTGGAGAATCACGTAAACAACCGAGCATCAGACAAACAGTAAACGGATCTTCATTTCATTTGTTGTCACGCTGAGCACTCGAAGAGAGGACTTGAGAAGTTTGAGCTGCTCCTCGGAATGCGCCGGGCAGCGTAATCTCGCCGCCTCTCCTCGCTACCTCCAAAGTGCACCATTTAGTGACGGTAGTCATCTAGCCATATGTATGTACCCATTCCGTGAGCCGATAAGACACGTTTCTCATTTCAAGCTCAATTCTGTGTGGTGCAGGGGCCCAACATTGCCTTTAGATAGCTACTAAAACTGCACGGAATGCGGATAGCCGGGAGAGGGGGGGGGGGGGGGCGTTCTCCGGTAGGTGGGTCGGCTGCACACAAACCCTCAGTGAAATACAGCACAGTCGCCTTAGGATGGCTTCTCTGGGATGTACTCACACTATTGCTTCTCAACATTTTCCGTCTGCGGGAGTGCATACGGACGTGCCAGCGGTGAAGGTGAGCCGGCACCGCATCATGGAGCGGACGTGCCAGCGGTGAAGGTGAGCCGGCACCGCATCATGGAGGCATCCCCGCCACACATGGCGAGTGGGCAGTGAGAGCAGGGCGCGGCCGAGAGAGGGACGGGTCGTGACCTGGCAGCGAGGACCCAACCTCAGACAGGCGTACACTGCAGGCTGCCCGGACGGTCAGGTGACGACACACGTGGCGCAGCCTGAATGTTGAGGACTGCCATCAAGACATGAGGGAAATGTATGCACCGCGAGAGGTTAGAGTAGGTGGAATATTACGACGACGCAGAAGTGATGCCGCTCGACGCTTAAGAGTAAGAATGATATTCGAATGATTATGGAATACATCACGATCATGAAAAGACGACTTAATCAGCATTGATAAAATATTCCGAGGATGGACTGGGTCGTCTGCGTGGAATGCAGAGTCCGTGGTACAACTATCAGTTTTGAACGCATGCATCTTGCAGGTAGTCAAGCGCCTGGTCAAAATCGCAGCGCAGCAATGAAGCTTCGTTGTTTGCATTTGGCATAAGCTCTGCTCTTTTTATCGCTGTGATTTCGCGGGCTCGGCGACAGAGCTCAGCCGTGGCAACGTTCTGTTAGAACCAACGCATGGTTCCATCAGCATTTTGAAACCCGGTGAACTGCGGCGCGCTCGATGACCACAAAGGGCATGTCGCGCTGCAGCACTTTATGGCTCAGAGTCTGTAAAGCCGACAATGCTGTCGCACTAAAGGGAATGGAATGCACAATCAACCCCAGGCGCGGGCGATAGCTGTTTGCATCGCAGAACTAAATCATGGATGTAACGAGGACATTTACAATGCCCAGTTAACTCGGCGCACGCGTTCACCCTAGCTACGTACTATCTGTCACATATATCTATGGCCAGGGCTGAGGCTGACATAAGAGGTCACTACGTTTGAAACATGTGCTGTCACATGAGCTTAAAACATAGCAACACAATTGTTGGCGAACTGTTGAACTATTTTTATGATTAGAACTTTCGAAGTACTTTTATTATTATAACTTTGAAACTACTTTTTTGTAAATTAGATGCTCATCCAGGCTTTTTTGTTGGGGGCGTTTAGATCTATTCTGTTTATATACTATTCATGTACTTAGGTACCGATCTGGGGTCCAAGAATCCTTTGCAAGGCTCCCAAACGAAAGGGGAGGGGAGGGGTAGCCCGGAATCCCCCTGGTTGCGTCTTTGTTAGCTATCCTGCGTTCTGCTCAACCATTTGTTCCATACGGCACGCCTATGCATTCGTTGTCGTTTTGAGCTGTTATCCTGGTACCACTTCTGTAACTGACAGGTGTTTTCCGGGTTTGGGCAGTTATTGATGAGCGCTGCTGCTGTGTATTCAGGCCACCTAGCCTCCAGCACCGCCACCGGTAGCGCTGCCGCCTACAGTCCCGATACCGTGTCCGCTGCAAGACCGACTGCCAGTGACGTGCGGCCGTGGGCTCAGCTGAGGACGAGAGGTGCCTTTGTCTCAGATGGGAGCATGGTAATGAAAGCGCTCAACGTACGCCACGTTTCTGGAAGCATCTAGCGTGGTGTTTATAGCTAAAACTATTCGAACATCATTAGAGCTCAGCAGGGTTCTGGGTCCATTCTTCGCACACAGTCATCGTGCCTTTCATGATGAAGTTCATAAACATTTGGGAAACACCTGCCACATGAAACTACCGAAAGTTTCACCAATGGGACCATTGGCCAGTCCCCGACGCAGCCAAGCCCTGTTGATGAGGAACGCACCTCTGACTCCTCGACGGCCAAGCCTAAGAAGCTTAAAGTAAACAAACTAAAGCGACTAAATCAACTTCAACTCCCGTTCTCTGCTCATTTCCACGATGAAGCTACTGGGTAGGCTGGCTGCAACTCCTGATGTAAAGCGATTCCGACGCGCCCTGACCTGGCCTAACCTGGCATGACCTGGCCTGACCTGGTCTGACCTGGCCTGACCTGGCCTGACCTGGTCTGACCTGGCCTGACCTGGCATGACCTGGCCTGACCGTGCCGCCCCTGCACTGCCGCGGCACAGTCCAAACGAACTGCAGCTACGTGCTTCTCGTTCCTGAGTGCCGAGCCACTCCGACAAATATGGGCCTGATTCTGATGCGGTCAGATGCGCGGGACGCTCTGTCTCCTGTACGTAGCGCGGGATACAA